ACCCGAAAAATGACTGAAGTGACTGGATAAAGTAGGTAGGACAGACGTGTGATGTCTTTGTTGTCACGCTCACTCAGGACAGAGGCTGCCGTGTGTACCTGCGATGGGGCTCTGAGCACAGGCAGAAACGCCCATGATAATTGCAGGCTTTTATGGGCTCCCAGGGCGACAACAACAAAAACACTCGGCCCAGGAGGAGGTCTGGTGGCGCCTCAGCGCGCCTGCTTAGTCTCAGAGGCCAGCTTCCTGGCCTTGTCCCTTAGAAGTTCAGAGGCGTGCGGTGGCTTCCTGTGAAACGGGCTGTGTCTTGTCCATGAGAAGGGGGTGGAAGTACAGATTTACAGCCCTCCAGTGGAGGGTGTCTGCCAGTTTAAGCTTCTTAACGCTACTTTTCATAGAAGAGATTCTCTGGAGATGGGCTTTTCAATCGCAGGCCAGGCCCTAGCTGTGTGTCGTTGGACTGGCCTCTCTGAGCCCCAGGGTCTTCATCTGTAGAAGAGGGATAGAAACAGGGACAGAATAACACCAGACAGGACTGTTGCCGGGATTAAATTAGCTAGTGCTCAGCAGGGCGGCCCTCCTTTGCTCTCAGTGTGCGGTTCACTGTGACTTTCAGCTGCCCTGCTCTTGAGATTTGGTTTGTCCGCCCTTCATTTTTATGCCTGGGTTTCATTTATTTTTAAATGTAATGTTCAGCTTTTAATACATTTAAATATGCACATTCTAAGGAGTATTCTATTCTATTCTATTCTATTCTATTCTATTCTATTCTATTCTATTCTAAGCTTTAAGATGAAAAACATCAGTCTCCTAACCTATTTCCACCCCACTTCTGCTTCCTAGAGGCAACCGGCTTTTAACTCTAGTTTTTTTCTCTTCTGGAATTTACCTCATTATTTACAAATAATAACTAGGGCTGCAATTCCTTATTTAGTTCTGGCTCATCTTTTAACTCTTCCTGTGGGATAGGTGAATTTAGCTTTCGTACACCCCTGCCCGCCTCAGAGCGCAGCCTCATCCGCACACCGCGCCTTCCTTTCCCCGCCTTTCCAGAATGTTCCCCGCAAACCCCGGCTGAGCTGGCACGCCCCATGGACTCGGCGTGCGCTCTAATGAAATCTTCAATTCCTGTGCAACCCCGTATTTTCCCTGCAGTATTCATTGTTGTTTTTGTTTACTCGAGTTTTCAGCAGTCTATCAATAATTCACCCCCATGCTCTGCTCTGGCAGAACCTGTGCAGCTCCTTTCCACCGAGCAGACCACCTCCCATAGCCACACCTGTCCCTGGTCTTCCCCCTGAGGGGTCGGGTGTGGAAGACGCCTGCAGTTCCCAGACCAGGTGCCCGTTCAAGTGCAGCAGGGGTCCGGCACAGAGACGGCATCTGGAGAGAGTGCCAGGGCCCCCCAGGACGGAGGCCTTTTGCCCTGTGAGGCGTTGGGAGGGTTTAGGCTTCTGTGTTTGACCTTGAGCTAGACCTGTGGCTCCCCATTGTGCCTCTACTTCAGCCTGCTCTGCCTTGTGGCCCCCAAACCCCTTCCCCACCTGGCCGGTGTCTGGTCTGTACGGTTCAGACTGCTGGTCCAGTGACTGCGGTCCAGTGGGGACTGACCGGAAGGGCCATGCCGCTCCCCATCCCCATCGCAGTATTTACTCTCTGCTTTCAGATCAGCACTGGACAGGGAGCAGGTGCATTTTCTCTTTGTCGTTTGCATACAGACACAGGAGCTTTGATGCTTGCTCAGGGTTGTAAAATAAAATGCTTCACTTCGTTTGCGAACACTTCCTGTGATGCTGTTCTTTTGTCTGTCCCCTCTCTCCCCCCATCTCCTCCCACCCCCACCCCTGGCTGTATCTCTTATCTTTCGCTAAGAGTTCCTTCAGGTTACTTATCTCCAGGACTTGAACTTGTTATCTTTATAATGGGCTTCTTAATGTCCTCCTCTCCTGGCTGCCCTGCATGTTGAGTGAGGGAGTCTGCCCAGTGCTCTGCACAGAGAAGCTGGCCGATGAACGTTGTTCATATTTTTTGCCTCTGTATGGCTCCATCCACATTAGGCTTTGATCTGCTTTGATGGGTGGAGTCCCCTGGCCTCCAGGTACCAATCAGCTGTCAGGTGAGCTGAACAGGACCTTGGGAACACAGGGTCTGGGTGTCCTGATCAATCTTTGGGTGTGACCCTGCAGGGGCTCAGTGTCCAATGGGCTGATGTCAAGCTTTCTGTGTGTGTTAAACTCCTTAGACAGAACTCTATTTCTTAGACAGAAATAGGGGACATTGCTGATCTTATTCATTGGTGGAGCCTTTAAATAGTCCACCCTGAGTTAAAAAGAATGCAAGCACCCCCAGACGTGGCCAGTACGCCCTCATTCATGCACTGAAGTAGGCAGCAGGTCGAGGAGACAGGCAGACGAGGGGGCCTGGGGTTCATGCTGCCGCGGCTGTTAGGCGGCTCCCGCGGCTGCCCTGTCTCTGTCAGGAGCGCTTGCTTTCTGTTGGGGCAAATCCCTGAAGCAGGGCGCCCCACAGCTCAGTTCCCCAGGGCTGCAGCCGGGGGGGGGGGGGCGGTTATTGCCACTGGCAGGAAGTGTCTGATGGTTTCTGTTTACTCTAAGTTGGAAGAGGAAAGGCTTCCTTACAACCAAGACGGAAAATCAGTGAGGTGACACCAGCCCTCTTCACCTTCCAGAGGGAACCGGGCTCCCAAAGGGCACCACGGTCCCGTCTTGAAATGGCTCTGCCACTGGCAGAACAAGGACCAGGGGCATTTCTCACGTGCGCCCTGCGTCCCAGGGTGAGACCGTGCCTGGCTGATGAAGCCGGCCTGGCCACTGGTATGGCCAGTGCCCCACTAAGTGACCCAGGAAGCTGCTGTCCTGTGAGCACATCGGAGCCGGCTTCTTGTGCTGTGTTTTAAGTCAAATGCTACTTTGAAAATCAACAGTATAGTAGCCCTGGCCTGATGGCTCAGTCGGCTGGAGCATCGTTCTGTGCATCAGAAGGTGGTGGGTTTGATCCCTGGTCAGGGTGCAAATGGGAGGCAGCTGATCGATGTTTCTCTCTCTCTTTCTCTCTCAAATCAATAATAAAAAAATCTTCGGGTGAGGATTAAAAAATGTAAAAAAAAAAAAAGAAAGTCAAAAGTATAGTAGACAAGAAATACGCAAATATTATCTATTTCACATAGGAGATTTGAATAATTTAGCTCCTTTCCTCCCTTGGAGAGGGTTTACACATCTCTTTTCTCATATTGATAGTATATTTTAAAAATCCATTAGGTGTCTCCCCTCAAAGAAACCCTTGACAAATTTAAAATGTTTCTAACACTACAGTCATGGTTATAATTCAGTACAAATTAGAAAGAAATAATATATGGCTGACCTCTTTCTCCCCACACCTTTGACTATTTAGGAATTAAATATATACACTGGGTAATTCTCAGATTGAAGAGGAAATCAGAATGGAGATCATAAAGTATCTAAAAAGAAATAAGAAGGAGAAAACTTTATACTCAGCCCACATGCTGTAGCAAAAGAGGGGCCCAGAAGAAAGTAAATAGCTGTGTCTTCATTTTTAGTGAAGTAAAAAGAATAAAAGTGATGATAAAGTAAGGATTTTAAGAAGTTTGGGAAAAGTACCAGCCATTAAACCAAAAGGAAATGGAAGGAGGGTAACATAAAACCTAAGTTCAATGAAATAGAAAATACACGGGAAGCATTAGGAAGGGCTGTAGACTTCAGTGGCAGATCTCGGGAAGAATGAAACTTGAGAGATTTAACCGTGTGTGTTGTCCGGGAGAAAAGTCTGAGCGAGTGTCCGCTCCTTCACGCAGTGGAATATGAGGCAGCCTTTAAAATGCTTTGTTTTCAAAGCAGCTGTAAGAGGACTGGGTGCAATGCTCACATCAAGTTCAAAACGTAGAACGAACAACTGCGTTACAGAATGATCATAGCCTTGCGATCACAGTCGCTCATCTCCCTCCCACCCCCAAGCTCTGGAGGGAATTCAGTCTGGAAGAATGCATTACAGTATCACAGCTGGAATGAAATACTGACCTGTACTGCCAGGCAGGGGAACCCCCCATCCATGGTGCTGAGCGCAGCCCCTCACGGAAGACCACATACTGTGTGATCCCAGCAACGTGAACTTTCCAGAGCAGGCAAATCTACAGAGACGGAAAGTAAATTAGCAGACGCCAGGGCTGGAGGCTTGAGGGAGTGACAGGCACAGGGTGTGGGGCTTCCTTTCGGGGCTATGAAAGGTTCTAAAATCGATCACGTGAAGATCTCCTTTGAGAATATATTCCTTTGAGATGGGCATTGCAGTGGGGGAATGGTATGGTGTATGAGTTATATCTGACCCAAGTCACTAACACCCCCCCCCCCGGAAAAAAAGGTCACAGTGCTTATCTCGGGGAATAGAAACATCTGTGATTTTCCTCGCTTTCCACCCTCTTTCATAATTTCCCGATAGAATTCTGTGTCACTTGTCTAACGAGAGCATAATAAACCAAAAGCCATTTTAAAGGAAGAATGTTAATAATTGGCCTTTGAGCAGCGAAGACAATGATGGGGATTCTGTAGTCCAGTTCCTGGGGAGCGAGGGGCAGCTGAGGAGCCCTAAAACCTGGGGATCACTGGGCTGTCAGCCGCTGTCACACACACAGGGTAGGGTAGGGCTATTCTTCCCCGAATCCTGGAGGAGAAAGCCTCATTGGTCTGGGTTCTCTCGGGGCAGCATCACAGCTCCAGGAATGGCTGGGGAAGACCGGAGACCATTGATTCCCGGTGACGTATTTAGAGGTGCCAGAGGCTGCCATCCGAGAGCGAAGTTAGAGAAAGTGGTGACTTATATAACTTCCTGTAATTGCCCGGCGCTGGCTGGCGGTGGCCGAGACCCACCCACGGCTCTTCTCTGCGGAGCAGGGGCTGGCCTTCTGCCTCTGGGCTCTGCACGGGGGTCCGTCTTTTTAACCGAAGCTGAAATGCCATTTTGAACAGAGGACTCCGTCGTGCCGTTTGAAGATGGGAAACTCCTACGCCGGGCAGCTGAAGTCGACGCGGTTCGAGGAGGTCCTGCACAGCTCCATCGAGGCCTCGCTGCGCTCCAACAGCCTGGTGCCGCGGCCCGTCTTCTCCCAGCTGTACCTGGAGGCCGAGCAGCAGCTCTCCGCCCTCGAAGGTATGCGACGTGTCTGTGTCTCTTCCGTGTCGTGGCCTCCGTGTCAGCCACAGGACTTGAAACTCCTTCCTCTTCTGCCCTGTGGGGAAAATGCCAAGTTGGGCAGAACAGAATTGTTAGGAAAAGACATACTAAATTCATACTCGGCTAAAATTAAAGTAAGGTGCAGCCGCAAGGTTCATCCATAAGGTTGCAAAGAATAAAAATTATTCATGGGACTGACAGGAGGAAGGACGCGGGCCGTGGTGGACTGTTCTGAATGGGTGGTGACTTATGAGAGACTTTGATATTTTCACGTGGACAAGTGGGAAATTGTAACAGGCTTTCAGCCCTCAGTGGCTCGCTGTCTCTGGGGCTGTCATTCAAGGCCGTGTTTGCAGAGCGGTCTGGGTGGTTTCTCTCGCCACAGCAGGTCCTAGAAGCCTCTGGAAAGTTTAAAAAACCAAGAACAAACCATTATGAATTTCACGTGTGCCAGGATGACATAAATTATCTTCAGGCCTGGGGACACCTTTAGGCTTGACCTAATTATCCAGAGAATGAAAGGGTGGTATTTTTCAGTCTCCCCTGGTTTGCAGTTTTATAGCCCGGCATGGTCATGGCGAAAGTGGCCCCACAGCAGCCCACGGCGCAGGACTCGTTCCTGTGATGAGAGTTCTTTGTGTTGTTACCTGGAGACTTCATTTAGCTATTGAAGCAACGCAGGGCTGTGGTTTAAAACGAACGTGAGTTAACACGACAGAGTGCAGTCCACCAGGCCCTGTGGTGGTCATGGGGTGGTCACAGCGTGTGTGCGTGTGGTCAGTATGCATGTGAACCTGTGTGCGTGTGTCGGGGTGGGGGTAGGCGGGGGGGCTGCCTGTCAGGGAAGACGAGGCAGGGACCTGCTTGCGTGACACACGGAGCTCCTCACCCTGACAGAGAGGCCTTCCCGACTCTGGCCCTGACACGTCCTTACTGAATTCACTGGCAGACAGCAGCGGGTAAGGACTGGAAGCACAGATTAGTAAAACCGAGAGTTCCCTCGTCTTCTCGTTGAAAGTAGTAACAGTTTCTGGCACAGGAAGCCATACTGGGACTTCCTGGGGAGACGAGAAACAAGGGGAAAATATTTTATAGCAGAAGGACTTGGGAAGTACATATTAAGTAGTCACCCTTAACTTCTTACAGCATTGAGGGTCTTGGTTGCTCATGATACATTCATGGTAACAGCGGTGATAGACTTCTAACTACTAAGTACTTCACCTGCACCAGCTAAAGTGATTGACTCCGTGATTTGGGAAGAGGAAACACTGATTTGCGGGAAGGTGGAAGGGTGCTCGCCTGCGGAGAGCGGGGAGCAGCTGTCGGAGGGTTGGTCTGTCTGTCTGAGACCTCCACAGACACCCCTGTGTGGCTCTGCCTGGGAGGCTGCATCTCAGGGTGCCTCCATCAGCTGGTGGAGCACTGGGCCAGTGACACTCTCCAGGGACAGCTTTGAGGCATTGGCCCCATGTGTGCCCTGGGTGGGGGCTGTGCCGGCTGTCGGCCCCCTGTCCTGCCCTTCCTGTTGGCATGAAAACCAGAGTGGCCCTCTGTGTGCTTTTCCCATTTGTCCAGCAGACAGCATGGGGACACCTCTTGAGGTTTCGTTTTTCTACCAGGGGGAGCTTGGTGGGCAGGAGCAGCCTCATTTTGGTTTATAAATGTCGCCACAAACCGAGCACTCCGCTCCAGCTTCCAGCTGTATCTGTGGCCTACGACCCTGCTGCCAATGGCTTTCGCAGGTCGGAGGTCTTGTTGTGTCTGCCCGTGGGTGCGCCAGGGTCTCCTGTCTCATCGCTGTCCTTGCTCAGACAATAACCTTCTGGGTGGTCCCTCTGACCAGGGCACCACTGCACTCAACAGCCCTCCCCCCGTAACAGACTCTGTATTTGCCGGGGGCGACTCAGCAAGGCCCTAGTTCCTTTGTTCTCGAATAAGGGGTCTCACCACCTCCTTTTAGGGGGAAACCCTTTATGTGTTATTTCTTGTTTAAAAAGGAAGATCAGCCAGACTAAAAACATACCAGCCCGGCATTTGGAGGTGTTTGTTAAAGTAGATGCAGGTAAATATCTATAAATCCCCCGCCCCGAATGTCAGCGAATTTTCTTAGTGTGCGCCTTGGGATAATCCACCTCAAACCCCGGAGCCAAGTGCTGCTGCAGAGCCTCTGGACCCCTGCTGTCGTTGGTGGTCCTTGGGTCCCTATGTCGCTGCTTGTGTCCAGTGCCATTCAAGATCGAGAGGCCCCTGTACTCCCCGGAGACCTCAGTCATCAGTCTGGTTTCCTCCTTCCCGCTCAGGGAGCCCCCTCAGGCTATCCCGGGCTGACTCACTCATCCCTTCCCAGGCCCTGGAATGTCTCATGTAGACCTTTGACCTTTAACCCTGCTTTCTTAGAGACTGGATTTTGAGCTTTCTTTGACTTTCTGAGGCTTAAGACCCTCCTCTTTCATGCCTTCCGAGAGTCTGCATTCCTGTTCTCGGCTTAGCAGAATAACACGCCGGCATTCTTGCATGGGCCCTGGCACTGCCGAGACTCTCCCTCCCCTTCTCCCCCTGCTCCTTGTGTCTTCGCTGTCCCTCTGAGCCTGGAGCGCTGGCTGCACGTCTGGGTTTTGCAGAAGAGCTGTCTGTGCCTCCACGCCACAGTGCCCGTGGTGAGCCATGCTCCGTGGCTGGCACTCAGGGCCTGGGTGTGACTGTACCTTCTGCAGAAAGCCCCCTTGCCTGCAGGGAGGGGCGGGAAGGGAACATCTCCAGAAGGCTCCACAGTCACCTCCCACCCCCTGGGTGCCCCCTGGGTACCCCCGGGTAATCCTTTACACTCTTCCCGCCCCCTCCGTGACCCTGACGCCCAGGACCCAGACACCAGGATTCTTGCATCACTGATCCTGCGGTGTCCTTCCCAAGGTCATGGGTCTGAGCTGGCTCAAAACGTCCAGTTTCTTCTGCCTCTTGCCCCTCATGCACCTTTCAAATGGTGGCCACTGCGAGGTTCCAATGCCAGCACCTGTGCTGATGAAATTGCTTCTCCAGGCCCGAGTTCTCCATGTAGGGGTCCCAGTGCCAGTGACTTTTTTGTACAGAGGCAGGCTCCACGCACAGAGAGGTTCAGGAGTGTGCCCACGGCCACACAGATGGTGGCAGACCCAGGTCCTGTAACTGGAGTCCCCTGACCCCCAGTCCCATCTCTTTCTGCTGCACATGATTTCATCATCCACCTAGAACCAGGTAACCCCTGGGTGGGGGCAGAGGGTGCGAGGGCCAAGGCAGAGGGGAGCAGAGAGGTGGCCGCCAGGAGGCCAGCACTCCAAGGGGGCACGGAGCAACAAAGAAGAGACCGCTGTCTCCTGGCCTAGTGTATCCAAGGGTGTTCAGGGCGACCCTGTTTCATGAAGAAATCTGTGTGCTCTTTACTGAGTGATATTTGAGACAAGTTGAAAGAGATTTTTTTTTTTAAACCAAAATGTCTGTTAAAAGAAGTTGGAAAGACTGTCCTTCCACAGACCTGACAATTCATTGACTGGAGCGCGCCCTTTCTCTAGCAACACTGGGTAGATGAAGTGTCATTTACCCATTAAACGGTCAGGTCAGCCCGGCAGGTGTGGGCTGAGTGCTGCTTCAGGAGGTGGCAATTTGATGGGCGTCTGGACGACAGAGAGGAGCAGGGTGGGTCCCCTCCCCAGGAGCCGTGAGTCTGCCGGGAGCGGCAGGGTTCCCATGACTAATTCCTGGCTCTCCTGGCCAGTTCCACGTTGGGCATTACTTTTAAAACACTGTGTCACTTAGAGTTTCCTGAGCTCACAACTTGCCTCGTCCCGTGCTGAAAAGGCTTTTTGTGTGTGGCTGTGACAAATTGGGTGTGTTTGTATTTCTAGGGCTGATATCAGCCTTCTTCCTGGGGGGTGAATCGTAACACATGGTCACACCACTTTCTTATGTGTGTAAGGACTGAGTGTGCAACTGTGGTCGGAACAGCAGCTTGGGCATCAGACACACCCGGGAGCACGCCCCCTGTGCCCCTTTGCTCTTCATTGGACAGCCGTGGGCCAATCAGGGGCCTCTGAGCCTCCATATCCTAGTCTGTAAAAGGTCTGTTTTACCACCATGGCAACTGCCATGCAGACGTTCTCAGAGTGCCTGGCGTGTGTGGGTTTCACGCACCATCCCTTCCAACCAGTTACTGGGTTACCCAAAAAGTCTGTGTAGTTTTTTTCCTGTACAGTAAAAGACACATTATTCATTGTCACCAATAACTTTATTGATTTGGATATTTTGAGTATGTCAACTGTCTCCTGCTATTGGCTTCTAGTGGGGAGAGGCCGGGTTGCTGCTAAACATCTTCCAGTGCATAGGACAGCCCCACAGCAGAGAATTGTTTGGCCAAATGTCAATAGTACCAGGAAACCTTGCAAACCACTTTTGACACGTTCGATCAGTCACAGCACCTTCTCCACACGCTGTACAAGGTTTTTTTGTGTGCGTATTTCAGTTGTGTTTTTACCTTTCGTGAAATAATAAAGTATAATACACTGAAAATGTTGCGTTTTTTCTTCCATCTTCAGTATTAAAATGGCTGCACAAAAACCCATCCATTTTGAGAGCTTTTTAAAAAATGTACATGCACCGATATGACAGTTATCACAACACAATCTAACAAAATCATTTCAAATGAAGCTAAAGACAGCTAAGCATACTGGAGCCATCCTACAGAAAAAAACAAATGGACTTTTTGGCCAGCCCAGTGCACACAGACTGCCCCAGTGTGTGTGCAGACATGTGCAACTCTGGCGGACGGGAAGGGACGTGACCCTGAATTCCAAGCCACGAGACCAGGTCTGGAGCCTGAGTCTGTGACCCTGGATGAGCCACGCACCTGAGCGAGCCCCGACTTTCCCTCTAGTATAGATGGTGGGGTGAGCGCTGATTAATTACTCAGTAGCTGGGATTTGCTGAGTACTTACCTCTGCCTTCCTCCCCTATTCTTTTTCCCCCGTCTAGGCAGTAGCCGCATTGACAATGAGGAGGAGGAAGAAGAGGGGGAAGGAGGGCTGGAGCCCAGCTGTCCCCCAAACCCCTACCAGACGCACCTGCCGCCGGAAGGATGCTGTACCGTGGACGGTGAGCCCACCGCCCTGCATCTGCAGCTGTGAGCTGCGGGCGTCTCCTCTGCCCGTGGCCCCCACCAGCAGTGGCCCGGGTGACCACCATACCTGCAGCACTGGCTGCATTGACACCGAGGGGACACCGTCAGGCTCACAGCCCCTCAGCCGCTCTCTAGGCCGGCTCCGCTTTATGAGTGTATTGGAGCCCAAGTTCATCTTTCTACCCCAGTCATCTGAAAACTGAAGGATATTTTTGCACCTCAGGGTGGTCGCACTGTGCGAGTGTGTGACTCAGAACCAGTTGGTAGGAATAAGCTTTCACATCTGCTGGTATTTCACTGTCGGAAAAGCAGATATATGTTGTCTCAGGAATCGGTAAAGTCAGCAATGTTAACCCCGTGTTGATGTCAAGGATCTGAGGCAGGGGTGACTGCTTGGTCCAGCGATGTGGCCTTGTGCTTGGCACTCAGGGACACTGGACAGACTCCTGGCTCTGCCACTTGCTGGCCAGACCAACTCTGAGCTCATTTGTCCTGTCACCAGCCCAGTCAACAGGTGTCACTAGTAAGTGATTTAGGGTAGTCAGTTAATTAACTAAAATAACTGAGCCCCAGCTCTGGAAATGTGGAAAGAACAGGTACAGGAGCTCCCACGTCGACGGAGCCCCGTGGGCAAGCAGCCGCTTCACTCAGGCTGTGGAAAGTGCTAGTGGGGTGGGCGGGGCAAGTGGGGGTATGCCCAGGAAAGGTTCCTACCACAGCTGGGGGAGGGCTTCCTGGAGGAGGTGGTCCTTTAGCTGGGTTTTGAAGAATTAGCAGGAATTAGCCAGGAGACTGTAAGAGGGTTGGGGGGAGCTTGGACCTTTCCAAATAATTTTGGACACTTGTTTTTTAAATAAACAGGGAGTATAAGTAGGTTCACAGTCGGGAGTATGTGAAACAGTTTATTCTCGTATCATTTATTTGTATTACAACCCCAACCCTACTTTGCCCACCCCCGTATTTGAAAGCCCTTCAGGACAGAAGGGTCGAAGGGAAGAGAGTGGCGGTCTGTCTGTGCCGTGAGTCTCCTCTGTGTCCTGGGCATCCAGGCCCCTCCCCAGAGACGGCCAGGGTCACCAGGTCCGCACCCCTCACTCCTGCTACTCTCCTGTCCCCACACATGTACGATGCAGGGTGTACAAACATGTAATCACTCGCGATTTCTCGTAGATTTGTCTTGTCTAGATGTTCGTTGGCACCGTGTGTCGAGTTTTTCTGTTGAGCGTCCTTTGTACAGTCATTACCTGGGGACACCGATGGCCACGCCGACACAGGGCCGAGCGGTGTTAATGCCCATGCCGATGCCGTTGTCTCTCAGAAGGAGCTTTACAATTGGGTCCCTGCAGAGGTGGGGTTGGTCTGGCGGGGTCCAGATGGTCCTCACCCCTTTGTCCGTGAGGACCTGGTTCTGGAAGGCCCTCGGCAGCGTGTGTGAGCCCCGTCCGTTCCTCCTAGGCTTCTGCCAGGCGGGGAAGGACCTGCGCCTCGTCTCCATCTCCAACGAGCCCATCGACGTCCCCGCAGGCTTCCTGCTGGTGGGGGCCAAGGCCCCCGGCCTGCCGGACCACCTCCTGGTGTGTGCCGTTGACAAGAGGTTCTTGCCGGATGACAGCGGGCACAACGCGCTTCTTGGTAAGCTCCTCCTTCCCCTGAGTCAGGGCTCCGTCTGCACGGTGGGTGGGGACAAGGGGGGGCCACCTTCGGGGCCTCTTCCTGTTTATGTCTTTCAGGAGACTATTTCCTTGACAAATGGCATAGAAATGAGGTTTATTTTAAAACGTGACCACCTTCTGTAGGAAGCCCATCAGCGAGTGTCCATTTTTTGGTACCTGTATTCACCAAGCCTTCCCCCAGTGCTCGCCTGGGTCAGAAATGAGATCCAAATCCTGGCCCAGACCCTCCTAGGAGCAATCAGACGTGAGGCGGAAGGAGACGAGGCTGAGCGTGTGTTCCCGCCTGCAGAACGCACGTCTCCCAGCACCCCCGTCCGTGCTCTCCTTGGCTTCCCCCTCACCTCTCCAGCGGCGTCATTCTTACCCTGGTTTTTATAGGTAGGGTTGGACCTGTCAATGAACCGGCCCAAGGGGACATGAGGAAAGGAACGGGTTCAGGATTCAAACTCGGCTCTTCCTGGCTCCACATTCTATGCTTTCATTAGCTACTATACTTCATGGTCCCGTGTCCTGGTCAAGGTCAGTGTGGGGGAAACGGTGGCTTTGACCTTTCAAACGACCACTAGCTTGCGGAGACCCCAGTGTCAATGCAGAGTCGAGGCCAAGCTCGCCGAGCCCGCTCCCTCTGTTCCCACACTTGCTGAGCCCGTACTGAACACCAGGCCCTGCGCTCGGCACACTCCCCCAGTTGTGCAGTGAAAACCGGGGAGCTGGACAGTTTGGACCGGGAGCCCAGAGGGCTGGGTGCTAGTCCTGCATGTGACCACCGGTCACCTGTGGCAGCCAGGCCTCAGTGTCCTCATCTGTGAGGTGGGGAGGGGACACCCACGGTGCTCCTGAGCCTTCTGCCATCCGGCCCTTTCGCCCGGCCCCGTGTTCCCTGGGAGCCGAAGGGTCGGTGATGATCTATTTCAGCAGTGGCCTTCGGGACGACCTTCACTCCAGAAGACAGTTTGGTTGTGAGGGTTTATGGGGAAAATGTCTAGGTTAACTCCCCTCCCCACTTCTTCTGTACTTTCCATGGGTACCACACTGAGGCTTCCAGCTTTATGCTGGGCAGGCAAGCGCATGTCGGTGGGGATTCACTGAGCAGGTTTTGTGTCCGAGGCACTGTGCTCAGGACCGAAGGGTGGGGAGGGGAGAGAGTGAGGACTTGCCCAGAGGGGGGAAGTATTCCTGCCACGGGGGCTGGGCGGTAGGGCACAGCCACCCATAAACTCTGAGACAAGGCAGGTGCACACTGCCTGGAGGAACAGGCACGGCTCGGGGACAACAACCAGGGAGAGAAAATATGGAAGCCACCTCTCTATTTTGGGCAGGTTCATAGGCTAATTGTAACTAGTTCTGAAAAACAAGAAAAACCCCAGAGTCCTGGACTGCATCTCAGCTTTAGTTTGCTCACAAGGCCTCCCCGTGCTGGGAAGACGGCCTGGTGGCTTGGCCTGCGTTTGATGTGGCGGAGGCCGGGGTGTGCCTGAATTCCACCACTTGGTGGCTGTAAAGGGATCCCGAGGGCAGTAAATTGAGGAGGTTCTGTGTCTTGGAATGTGGAGACAAGACTCCTTCAGTTCATTCACCGGCAGTGCCGGAAGCCTTACGCTCCCCAAGCGGAGTGCGGAGGAAGTGGTATCTTTGTTAATTGCTCGCCAAAAAGCCATAGGAGGTGGGTAATAAGGGCTGGTCGGTAATAACCCATGCTTTCTTCTCTTAAAATAGCTTTATGCTCTCAGCTTGCACACTTAACACTGTTTAGGCTTCCTGCATGCAATTAACTCTGATGTCTACACAGGACCGGGTGGCCCCGCAGACCTCCGGGGCCTGGGCTCAGTGCTTTCTCGTGACCTACATAAACTGAACACTGTGGATAATCTTGGGCGAAGCAATGGCTAGCTCCCCCACCCCCACCCATAACTGATAATGAAGAGTCTTGTTTCAGCAACTTTGCATCCACTGAGGGATTTTTGCCTGAGAAAACTGAGATTAAAATACAGGTTCGTGTTTTAGTTTGTTTGTTTCCTGATGGTAATTCATCTCCTTTGGCTGATGACTGACATGTAGGAGGAGAAAACATACAAACAGAACGTTTTAGATGGGAGTAACCAGGTGTTTTATTCATTCGGGAGGCACATATTGAAGCATTTTTGGAGTGTATAGCTCCACACTGAAGGTAGGCCTTCAGCTCGGCCAGGGCCCCAGAGCCAGGGCAGACCTGGCCCTTCCCGGGGAGCCCGGTGTCTGGCGGGAGAACATGGAGCCTCCGGCCCACGCCAGGCAACCATGGAAACCCAGCTCTTGCGGGTCCCTGCGGCGCACTGCGGCCCGGTGACTGAAGTGCCGGCAGGGATCGTGAAGGGTGCACAGTGCCCAGCGATGGGAAGGAGAGCCGTCTCAGTGCAGGTGGGCTTCCAGCTGAGCCCGGAACAGAGGAAGGAAACGTCACCCATTGGAGAAGAACATGACCGGCAGTTACTTTATGGAGACTTACCACATGCCCAAAAACATGCTCATGTGAAAGAGCCTGCTGAGGTGGGCCCATTATTATCTAGCCTTTATAGATGAAGAAACAAAGGCCCAGCCCTGGCTGGTGTAGCTCAGTGGATTGAGCGGGAGCCTGCGAACCAGAGTATCACGGTTCGATTCCCAGTCAGGGCACATGCCTGGGTTGCAGGCCAGTTCCCAGCAGGGGATGCATGAGAGGCAACCATACATTGATATTTCTCTCTCTCTCTCTCCCTCCCTTTCTCTCTAAAGATAAATAAATGAAAATCTAAAAAAAAAAAAGAAACAAACAAAGGCCCAGAGAGGTTAACCAACTTGCTCAGGGTCACCCAGCTAGTCAATGACAGACCCTGGATTTGAACTCAGATGTTGTGGCTCTGGTGCTTGTGCCCCAGAGGACAAAGGGCAGGCCAGATAGAGGGGCCTCCTGCCTGTAGGAGCACAGCCTGATGTGGGGGAGCAGGAGGTGGTGGTGAGAACTTCTGTGGCCACTGCAGAGGCTGCAGAATGGGGCCAGTACGGTCCCGCTCGGAAAAGGCCTCAGCCCCCGGGGAGCTGTTTTTAAACTGCAGGGTCGGATGGAAGGGCTAGCAGCCTGACGTGTCTGTCTACTGTCTTTAACGGCCGGCAACACGTGGCTGCCCTGTTTCACTGTGACTCTTCCTCTCCACCTTCCAAACTATTCTGAGGCAAATCCCGGACATCACGTCGTTTCATCTGTAAATGATTCAATATGTATCTCAGAGGTGAGGGCTTTAAGATCAAAAGGAGACTCTCCCAAAGCAATGTGTCACTAGGCCTCTGAAGTGTCTCTTATTAAGTCTCTCTGCATTTACATGTCCTTCCTTCCTGTTTTCCCTTCACAGTTTATGTTTAAAGGGACATTGGAAGGTAATTCAAGTAAAGCAGTTACCATGTTTTAGTTTGCATTTTAGGAAGATCTCTTGGGAGCCACATGAATAATTGATTCGTGTTAGAAGAGAAACTGAGTCAGGGCAACCAGTGATGAGCCTGCTGCAGGATTCCAGGTAGTTCCTGACCATTGGAACCTCCGAGTGCGGTGCCACCAAGCCCCCTGTGTTGTTCACGGGTTGGCAGCCTGCAGCCCGCCCTTAGCTGCGTGCTCAGAGGACTGCCCGCCATGTCTAAAGGAAGCCACCGTGGATGCGTCAGAGAGGAATCATGTAACTTGGTTCTGGAAGGAAACTCAGGGTTCATTTAGACTTCACCTTCCCGGTTATGGTTGGGAAACTGGAACTGGGGAGATGGAATGAAGTTACTTCCCCCGTCTCAGCACCGTGATGGCCCAGGTAGGGTCAGACATCAGTCTCCTGGCCGGCCCACCCCAGCTCTGCTCTGTGATACAGCTGTGCCCGTCCAAGGGAGAGGAAGGAGCAGTGGCATCTGATGAGCACCTACTATGTGCTGGGCACCTGGTGGGCACTTTGCCCTCATGCTCCTTCAAGATGGATTTTTGTGAGGACATGCCGTGGCAGAAGGGTTCAGTCCCACCCATCTCCCACGCCCCCTGTTGCTGAGCTGCTCTCTCTCTGTGCCTGGTGCCCTCATCTGTAAACTGGGGAGCCTACGAATCATTGTATAGGGCTCCTGGAGGTTTAAACGAGAAGAACGTTTATCATGTAAAGTGCTGGGCTCAGTGCCTGGCAGCGGTCAGTGTGCGGTACATGTTCGCTGTTACCACGTTTACAGATGAGAAACACAGAGCTCCAAGATGTTACTTAACCTGCCCAAAGTCACACAAGTAGGGAGTTGGGATTTGAGCCCGGGGCCTTCCAATCTGCAAGTGTGTGTATGCTCTGCTACAGTGAAGTGGGTAGGAGGACAGGGACTTGCTTCCCAACAGAAGGGAGAGCCTGGCTTGGTGGCCCGCGCACACTGGCACAAGCTCAAGATGTGCTGGTTAAACAAATGCCGCCCACAGCGGCTTAAACACGGCCGGACCCGCAGGAAAATCGCATGGCGCCTGCACGTGTGGTCAGGAGCGAGGCGTTTTTATGGGGCGTTTCCCGTGGGATAGTTTGTGGATGGAACGATTTCTCACTTGAGTCTGGATACTTGCGCCTGGCAGGAGCTGAAGGGTCTGGGCCCAGTGGCTTGCTTTCTGGGCCTGTCTCCTGAGGAGACCCTTATAGATGTCCTCATCCTCGGGGGGACTTGCAAAGAGAATGACTTACTACATTCTTCCTCCCGAAAACGTTTATTGCCTTTCAGACAATTTCTTGAAAGATTAGAATTATCTCGTATGTTCAGCTGGGGTGGTTTCAACCACTCTGCAGTCCCCTGGGCCGGTTGGTAAGCCACACCGTGGTCTTCTCGGTCGGCCGTCCCCGGCCCGGGGTCATCTCTCTGAAGAGCAGCGGATTTTCCTACCAGAAAGTGACAGCCGGCACAGAGAGTGATTTGCTCGCTGGCTCCCTAAATACCTACCACACCGAGGAGACCCAGGTTTCTACTTGGTTTACGGAACCACGCGGAGGAGCTCTTCCGGTCTGCGGTTCCCACCCTGGCTTCTGCGGTGGCCCCGCCGGCCACCTTTCTCATGGCGCAAGAGCCTATCCACTGGACAGGGATGGCAGTGCTGGCCTCGGCAGGTCACCCTCAGCGTTTATAGTTCATCCATCTTTTCAACGCTCGGGCTCAGAATCCCTTCCATGGGTTTTGGGGGTCTCGTTGGGCCCTTTGATGCCTGTTGAGCTGTTTATCTCAAGGTTCCCATGTCGGAGGCAAAGGGACCAATAAGAATGTTAGACGACTACTTCAGCGTGTACCAGAAATGACCCTGTGCTCACTCTTACACTTACCTTGTTTCCTGTCTCCTTCCTCCCCTACTGATGTTTACCGACACTCTTACCCCTGCCAAGTGCTAGTCTGAGTGCGGGCACTTACGTACACAGAGCAGTGCACCTCCATGCGGTCACACCACCGTCCCAGCACTTGGGATGCGTGGGAAACTTATGGGGGAAAGACACGAACCGCAGTCACTGTAACTCTAAGGAAGAAGCTGCAAGGCCCTCTGAACAGTAATAAGAGGCTGCAGGGGTCCAGGGAGCAGTGAGCCCAGCCCTGTGGGGCCAGGAGGTCTCCGGAGGTGTGGGCGTTTGAGCTGAGCGCTGACTGATGGGTGGGGTGCGTGCCGATGTGGCCTAAGTGAGGTAGAGTGTGAGTGCGCCCAGAGGCAGGAGCGCGGCGGAAGTCAGCAGAGGGAGCCCTTTGGAATTAGGCCTATTTAACAGGGGTCTCAAACTCGTGTTCACCGGTGGCCACGTCAGCCTTGTGGTTGCCTTCAAAGGGCCAATTTAAGACTTTACAAATGTAACTTCTCCTTAACTAGGGGCACGGATCTTGGCCCTGCCGCTGGGTAGAAACAAGGTGCCAGGCCGGATAAAACAAGGTGGAGGGCTGGATTCGGCCTGAGGGCCTTGTGTTCGCCACCCGTGCCTGAATGAGGACCAGAAGTAAAGCTGGAGATGAGGGTTGGGGGGCTTGGGGGGCAGCCTTGAATGCCACGCTGTGGGTCTAGACCTCGTCCTCATACCACACTTCCTGTATCGACTTCAGACTGTTGCTTAGTCCCTCTGGTGCTCAGGTTTCCCAAAAGAAGGTTTTGCTGCCCTGATTGACTGAGCGGCCTGTCTGGATGCAGTGAATGGGCAAGGATGTCACGGCTTCCCTGTGCACATTGGTCCCCTTCCTGTCCCTTTAGAACACCAGCAGACACGGAGTGCCACACGGGACGTTTCTCCGGGGCCTTTGCTGCGTGCTCCGCTGCATAGGGAATGGGGTTCTGGAAGATCGAACTAACCCGTTCTTGTCTTAAATTGAGACCAAGAGATTGACCCTTATTTCTAAGGCCTTTCAGGGAATCTGAGATTTGCTTAAAATACAGCAGACTGGAGAGCCCACAGGTTTCCATAGCATTGATGTCTCATCTCTCTGTGGAGGTGTCCTGAGCTGTCACCAACAGTGCTGCTTTGGACACGAGCCACAGGCTCAGTTTACCAGGTGTGAAAGCAGACCTGGCGCAAAGCCGTGCAGTCCTCAGGGCCTCGGTCCAAAGGACCTTGGTAAACTTGCCAGCTGGAGAATGTGATAAAATAAATGAGTCTCAGCCTCAGGGTGCCCCTCCCAAGGGCCTAGGACAGTTGAAACCAGCCATACCCGGGGCCGGGCATGGGCTTCTTCAGGCAGAGCCATGTGACAGTCAGGTGGCAAAGCCGATCCTCACAGTTCTCCACAGTCACCCTGGTTCTGGTGAGTACCATTCAGATGGATGTGACGGCTCCGAAGGTCTTCTCAAGGATCTTCTCTGGGTTTTAATAGTTCCTAGGGGTTAGATTTACCATCGCCACTGCATAGACAACCTTCTCAGAGCCTTGCAGTTGATGGCAGCCTCTGTCGCCTCCCAGAAAGTCCCGTTCTGGTCTTGGGTAGCAGGACTCCGACCCCGTGACAGCCACCTTGGAGCCCAGCTTCTCCACTCCCCCGGCCTCGGAGCCCCCAGACCCCCTCCCCGCTGCCTGCCATGCACTGCGGAGCATTCTTCATTTCTCTTCAGCAGTTCGTTGAATCAAATTTCTTCACTCCAGGGTGGGAATCTGCACTCCCATGGGGTCTCCTAGTGTATCTGGTATCAGTGAGCAAACGCCGAGATTCTGTAACTGGCCAGCGCGGAGGGCGTGGGAGCACGCCGGTCCGTGCAGGTTCTTGGTCAGGGCAGACAGCTGAAGGGACTGTTCTCGTCCTGGGAAGTTTGCTCTCACAGGCCTTCCGATATGCACCCAAGGGAGTTCACGCTTCCGAGCTTGCCTGGGCCCATGTCCATGGTCAAGTCTTCTTGGCCCTCTTCCTGTTTGAGTCAAGGACACATTGCTCCCTGCAGATTCTCTGGCTGTGGTAGAGGGCATGAGTGGTCAGTCTTGATGAACCGTGTGTTATCGAAAGAGGATTTTGGAGGTAAGCCGGGGATGGTCATGGTCTGTTTTTCCTCCAGGATTCTCTGGGAATTGTGTTGGCTGCGGAAAGAAAGGCTTCTGCTACTTCACGGAATTCTCCAATCACATAAATCTTAAGCTGACCACTCAGCCCAAGAAGCAGAAGCACTTGAAGTATTACCTGGTCCGCAACGCCCAGGGGGCTCTTACCAAAGGGCCTCTCATTTGCTGGAAGGGCTCAGGTGAGCGGTTCAGCTGTGCGGGGCAGGTGGGTGGTGGGGTGTCCCCTGGGTGGGCCAAGGTGCCCGTCAGCAGGACTTTGCGGAGAGACTGCTTGGTGTGGGCACGAAGGCAGGTGCGGGGTCAGCGTGTGCAATTAAAATGCCACTTTGAACGACAGGTGTTCAGTTTACAGCGTCAGCCTCCTTGTGTGGGCCATTTAAGGGTTGACGGAGGGCTGCACCATGCTGTGCCATCCTGTGGCCAGTGGTTGCAAGGTTCTCCAGTGGGTGACTTTGTCCCCCAGGGAACATCTGCCATCCTGTGGAGACACTTGATTGTCACGGCCGAAGGGTGCTCCTGGCCTTTGAAAAGGGGGGCCAGAGCTGCTGCCCAACATCCTGCAGCTCACAGGACATTCCACCCTCCCCCAAAGAATGACCCACTCTCAAATGTCCATGTGCAAGGTTGCAGAACCCCAATTTAGAGAAACTTGGCTTGAATAATGTCCCCCAGTCCCTGAACAGAAAGAACAGCTCCCGTGTCCCGGCCCTAGAAGAAGTCCCTGGGCCCCATGCCCGCCCCCCCCCGTCTCCTATGTGGTCAGGAGGGCTTGGCTGCAGTGAGCTGTTGGTGGGGGGAGAGAGAGGGGGTGGATTTCAGAGGCCCAGCCTCGGCTGCTCCCTGAGATGTTTCCATGGAATCGGTGTGGAGGGGTATGTTCTAGAAGGATCCTCAATGAGACGACTGGGAGGACCAGCCTTCGGTCCCTCACTTGTCCATGTTGGTTCACTTCTGGCCCCTTGGAATCTCCCAGCCAGCTCCCACAAGCAGAACAGGGGCTTCAGGAGGGGCTGGCTCTGGGCCAGCCTCTCCCCCCACCATTCCTATCATCACTCTTCCTTTTCTTACATCGGTCAGTAAACACTGATACTCTATGAGCTGTTAGCATGTGCCAGTCCTTTTCTGGGTCCTGGGGAGGCAGCAGGTCTTCCCCTGGGGGACCAGTGAAGGGTTTTCATCACCTGCTGTGGCCAAGCACCTTGCAGATGAGGTACATCCCTGGGGCTGAGGGCAACTCGTGGGCTGGAGGAAGGTATGGCCTGTACCTTTACCTTTGAGTGATGGGCAGTGATTAGATAATGCATTTGTATCATCTGCTTTTCTCTTTTCCCCAAATGCTCACTATTGTCGTCTCCTGACAGCGTGTCCCTCTGATGGACCCCTGCCCTTGGAGCACGGGTGTCCGGGTACCTGGCTCTCCTGCAGGACAAACCCCAGGCTCGGAGCTCATCTCTAGCTGGTGGGGGCAGCAGTGACCTGGTGTTCACACCCTGTCTTGTCCGCAGAGTTCAGAGGCCGGCCGACCACCGCCGGCCTGTGCTCCAGTTCCCTCTTCCCGCCGCTGGACATCTCCGGGCCCCTGGCTGCCTTCTCCGGGGACCCCACTCCTGGAACGAGCCCCAGCATCCCCACGGGGGCGCAGCCTGCAGGTGAGGCGGTGGAGCAGCCCCCAAGGAGCAGAACCCGGGGCCTGGCATGTCACCGGCATGGCTGCTGGGTGGCGGACGCTTCCAGAGAGACAGGGGCGTGCTTCGTGTTCTCTTTCTGCAGGGCTTGTGCATTTCGTCTTGACCTCGGGAGAGTTTTCAGCACAGAGTGCTTTGTTTTTAATTCGGAAAGGTGCTCTGCACGCCTCTTTGCTCTGGCACGTGGTCCCCTTGTTGGTGGGCTGGTGGGATCGCTCAGCAGCCCCAGTCTGCAGCATAGGGTTTGCTTTGTGATGAGCACTAAGTCGGCCTTGGAACTGGACTCCTGGGAGGGGCAGTGAGACTGGACACTCGCTTTGTCCCATGCGCCGTGTGCCCCAGCTCTGTGCGTGTCCCATCCAACCCTAATGAGCCCCTGCGAGCAGGCTTCTGTGACCACCTAGTACTCGCTGGGAAGTTGGGGCCACCAGTGCTGGCCTGGGACCTCACAGGAGGGCAGAGCCCAGATTTGACAGTAGGTATTGCTGGCTGAAGCCTTAAACATGGGAGAGGCGACCACATTAGGCAGCAGCCTTTGAGGGACTCGGGGGACTGGTGGTTTCTGTTCCTCTTGCCCAGAGGGTCTGAGGTCAGACGCTGAGAGGAGCCACAGCCCCACCTGGCTCGTCCCACCCGTGACGAAGAGGTTGCCCTGGGCTGAAACATGCCCCTCCGGGTGCCACACCTCCCTCCCCACCAGGCAGTATCTGCTGCTGCCCTCCCTGTGCCTGGGCCACCTGGGACCTCTGCCACCAGGCAACCGGAGGGGCCACGGCTTTGGCATCAGAATACCGGGGTGTGAGCCCCGGCACTGCCTCCCCTCACTGGGCGGTTTAAGGCAGGTCCTCTCGAGTCTTTGAGCGACCTCTGCTCCCTCCTCTGTGAGGCTGGAGGAGACCTCCCTGGCCTGGTCTGCAGGGCGGCCGTGAGACTCGGGGAAGAGCAGACGCTTACTCAGTGCTTGCCGCCTGCCAGGCACATTTCCAGGGACCTGACTTGGTCATTCTTGCAGCGGCTCTGCTGTGACCCCCACTTTATGGGTGAGGAAGTTGGAGGAGGGGGACGTCGAGGAGGGTCCCACAGCTAGTACAGAGAGCCTCCGGAGACCAGGACCTGTGGCTGCCCCCAGAACGACCCTCAGTCCCGGGAAGTCCCAGCCCCTGTGAGCGGCCCGGGCCTCAGCGACAGCTAACCCAACCGCTGTCCCTGGTGCGTCTGACACAAACCTGGGCCTGGAGGGTGAAGGAGCAGGTGGAAGGAAGCAGAAACAGTTTCCGGGGCAGTCCTGAATTCATGGAGCCCCACGGGCCACTCCTGTCCCTCTGGTCCTTCCCCCACCAGGGAGTGCTCACTGCAGAAGTGTGTGTGCATGTGTGTATGTTTCAGCATGTTTTCTCAGTCGGGCAGAATTGTCGTGCTGTGAGCTGACCTGCTCTGTGTCGTTCTCTGTGCCCAGGACCGGCCTCTGGTCACCCCCCACTCACCATAGCCACCAGCCCAGCTGTCTTCAACGGCAAAGACTCCCCGAAGCACCAGCAGCTGGTGAAGAACAAGCTGTTGGCTGTGACGCGGCCCTCGGCACTAGGTAGCGTTGCCCATCCTGGGGGTCCTGTCCTTCTCTGGGTCAAGGCTTTGGGGGGCAGACATGGGAGCTTCCTGGAATTGGTGTGGCTTGGACAGAGAGTCTGGCCAGGGCAGCAGATGCCTCCTGGGTCTGCAGGGCTGTGCCCAGGCCCTGGTGCTGGGTAACGGGTTACACCAAGAAGCCTCGAGAACCTTTCGTGAGATGGGAGACCTGTCTTATTGTGAGCCACCCATCAGAAGGGCTGCAGAGTTCGGGAGAAGCAGAGGGTGACATGGTACCGTGTGAACAACACCAGATAAACACGGATCCAAAACCCACCTCTGTCTCTTACTCGTGGGGGGTCTTGGGTCAGATGCTTCCTTGTCTGGAGGTGTGAGTTCTGCTCTGAGGGCAGGTGAGAGGATCAGAGGAGGTGCTGTGTGGAGAGTGGGCATATCTGGCATCTCACTAGGGCACCTTACCACCACCCACAGCAGCAGCATCATTGAGTTTGGTCTGTTCAGAGAGGGCTTCCTGGAGGAGGCGCCAAGTGAACTGCCATTCACAGCTGGGGAAGCATTAATTGGAGATGGTTTGGGAGGAAGTGAGGAAAGGGGATGAGGAGGTGAGTAAGGGGTGGGAAGGGGGTAAGTGAGGGGGTTAAGCTGGCCCCCTGCTAGAGCAGAGGCTGTGGGTGAGGAAGAGTGGCAGGCGGAGCAGGGACCCAGCTCTGCTCGCTGGGAGCCTCGTCAGAAACCAGTCTTCACCACCTTTCCTCCTCCACGCGACTGTGGAATGGAGCCTTAGGGTCCATGGCTGTCCCTCTGGGAGAGCTCTTAGAGGCCGTCTGGTGCCACGTGCTGCTTTGTGGAGGAGGAAGGGGAACCCAGAGACAGCCAGGCACACAGCCTGGCTCTCTGCCTCCACGTCACCGCAGTGAGGGCTTCTCCGGTGGGGTCTTGAACGTCATCTCCCTCCAAGCGGAAGGAACGGTGTCTCTTCTGAATCGGGTCCGAGACTCCCCAGCCTTAACCTTTGGGTTTTTTCTCAGGTCTGAGGTCAGGCCTTTGTCACTTTCCTGGTGGGAGGAACCCAGGCAGGCACCCACTTTTCTTCTCGTGTTTGTTTCTTCTTGGGTGGGTGCTGATTTTAGGGCAGCCGTGTGGCTGAGGCTTGGGGCCCGGGCACGGTGATGGGGCAGCCTGGGCCCTTGGTGCTGCCCCTTCTACACTGAGGTCTGGGCAGCTGTCACCCCAAGAGGAAGGCAATGAGGAGCTGCCCTTGGCCTGGGCCCTGCGAGCCTCCTTCTGCTGTGAGTGAACACACTTCCCTTGGAGGGGACGCAGAGAGCCCCCTGTTCCCTAGTGTGACCTCAAGCCCTTCTGGAGTCTGGCTCCAACCAACCAGCTGTTCCTGTTCTAGAGTCACGTGTCCCCCTGTACTGGACAGTTCGGTGCCCCCACCCCATTGCCCCCCATCTCTAGAGCCTGGTCACACATCTGTGCCCTTGCAGAGCACCTGCCTTTCAGAGCTTAGATCACTTGTCACCTCCTCCCCACTGGTGTCCGTCAGGCCAGTGAAGAGCAGGGCTGTGGCCACCCATCGCTCGGAGCCCTGGCCCCAGCTGTTGCGGAGCCGGGCACAGAGGGGCTCAGTGGACGCTGGCTGAAGGGCGTTGCCTCATTCACAAGCCCACCTAAGGGTCTGGGGTCTCTGCCTTCCTGCTCGCTCTGCAGGGGGCAGAGATCAGTTTTAAGAAACTGCTTCTGGGCAACAAGGGGTGTTTGAGGAGGGCCGAAGGCTGCCTCAGGGGCAAAGTGTAGTCCCTGCCGGGCAGCCCTGCAGGGACCCTTTTTGGTTGTCCCCAGGGGTGGAGTAGGTCCGGGAGCTGCAGGTCTGCAGGGAGTTTGGGCATCAGCCGTGCTTGTGAAGAAGCACTTTCTCACCCTCCAGAGATCGTCTCAGAGACCGATTCTGCGGGCCAGGGCAGAGCCTGGGAGCAGACGGTTTTAACTGGCCCTTCCTCGTTCTGTCCGGCTCCTTCTCGGGCCAGACTCAGAGAGACAGTGCTCCAGGTGGCGGTTCCCAACCCCTGTGATGCCTTAGGTGCATCGGGGAGCCTGGGGGTTGTCAGCCTGCCTGCACCCCACCCCCACCGCAGATGCCGGGGTCCTGGTTTACGTGGGACGGGGCTGCATTGGGCATGGAGGGTCCTAAAGCTTCTCAGGTGAGTTCAATGTGCAGTCAGGGTTGATCATGTAGCTCTTTAGTAGAGGGCAGATGTTGCATCCAAAAATTGATCCCAAAAGTACGGTGACCAGTCCATGGAATTTTGAATGACCACGAGCCCAGTGAGAGTCGTGGGCACGCTGTCATCTGTGTGGGCAGGATGGCTCATAACAGCGGTGGGTGCCAGCTTCTGTCCCCTTGATTTCTTCAGCCTCAAATTAGCTTTCCAGGCTGGGGTGGGGAGAGGAGCACCGCTGGGTATGTGCTGCCCCCTGGTGGTGTAGCTGCAGTGGTGGGCTGAGCATGCTGCGGCTTGTCTGCAGGAACACAATGTGAGGTGATGATAATGATGATAATGATGATGGAGTCTTGGCGGCCACCACTCATTGGGCTTGTGCTTTACATATATTCTCTGTAGTCCTGACCAAGGCACCTTCCTTACGATCCCATGTTGAAGGTGAAGAGGCTAAGCCTTCAGATCGAAGTTTAACTCCTTGCACAACTTCAGAATGAAACATTTGCAAAGGTGGACAGGATGTTGCCTTATGCCTAGTTACTTCAATAGATGCTAAAAACCCATCATGAACTGTGATTTTAAAAAATATAATAAGTGTCCTCCAAGTCAGGGGAATGTTTTATTTTGAAGCTCATCGTCACTGACAGCTGAATGCACACTCCAAATGTTGTCTAGGTATCTTGTCCAACTCCGGGCCCCCCAAAAAGCGCCACAAAGGGTGGTCTCCAGAATCCCCATCAGCTACAGAAGGTGGCTACCCCCAGGGTGGTCGGAGCAGAGCTAAGTATGGTAAGTGACCAGAACTTGCCAAAAACCCAAGGCTTGGGTGCGCTGCTGGTGGGGTAGGGTGTACATGCGTGTGTGTGCACTTCTCTGTGTGTGTGCACTTCTCTGTGTGTGTGCACTTCTCTGTGTGTGCTGGCGAGGAATTGGAGGGAGGCTGACTTAGGTACAACTGAAGGCTCTCTCTCGCAGGTATTAGAGTTGCTTAACAAAGCCCAGGATCCCAGCACGGTAGTGAGCTCCCTGACCTGAAAAGAATTTAAAAAGGAGCTTGCCTGTCACTTTTCAGGGATAGTGAAGAGGAGCCTGGGTCCTTTGGTGGGGATGGTTGGACCCAGTGACCTTAAAGATGCTTTTGACCTCAGAAACTTATGATCCCAGGACTTGGTGGGGGGCGGGGAAGGGTCGAGGTGCGTCTTCCTAATGCTCTCGCATGTTTGCAGAGAATGCGGTCATGTCCTGCGTGCCCCAGGCCAGCTTGGCGGGACCAGCTTCAGTCACCTTTCCCGTGGTGGCCTCCGGAGAACCGGTGTCTGTCCCCGACAACTTGCTGAAAATATGCAAGGCCAAGCCAGTGATATTTAAAGGCAAGCAGCGCCGTGCAGCATGGTGGAGCTGGGGGGGGGGGGCGGTGTGTGTGGGGGGGGGAGGCTGGGGCTGGAAGAACGTGCGACAAACAGGCAGCAGGCTGGCATCTTCCAGTCTGAGTCCGAGGTGTCCCGAGCGCTCACTGAGACTCCTTCCAGGACAGGGAAAGACCTGAGCAGACCCTTCCCATCACGGGGGAGCCCCCAGTCCGACGCCAGCAGTTAGAGAGCTTCTTGATTTTGCACTACAGGTCCAAGTGAAATGATTCCAAGTGCTGTTCACTTGCTTGTACATGTGTTTTTTCCTTCCTCACTCACTCAGCCTCACTGAGCTCCTGCCACGGCCACAGGCTCGGGGCTGAGCACCAAGGGCTAGAGACGGAGCCTCGGCCTCTTGCCGATTGACGGGACTGGGAGCCCCGCCCGATCTGGGGGTGGCCCTGCTCTCACCCTCTGCCACTGGTCTTTTTGACGATGGATCCTATGTCTGGGTGGGCAAAGATAGCCATGGTCACCCGTGGGGAGCGGGACATACAACCAGACTTGACTCTGTGTTGGGTCAGTGGCTAGTGTACGCTTCATGGAGGCTGATTTTGGCCTCAGTGAAAGAAATCCCTTCTTCTTACAAAGCGGGAGACCTTGACTTGTGAGGACTGGGCAGGGCTAGTTGGGTGGCACCCCCGGTGCTGGTCAACACTGTACTTGGCACTGTGTTTGGGGGCCCCCGGTGGTGGTGGTGCCCAGACGTGTTGACCAGCAGGTGCTGCTGCTCCCCCACAGGCCACGGGAACTTCCCTTACCTGTGTGGGAACCTGAATGACGTCGTGGTAAGCCCGCTCCTGCACACCTGCTACCAGAGCTCCCAGTCCCTGTCTCGGTTGCACGAGCAGTACGGGGCCCCCACCCCGCAGCCCATCTCGGAGGAGATGCAGCTCCTGCTCACCGTGTACTACCTGGTCCAGCTGGGTGAGTCCCCGCGCTGCCCGTGAGCCTGTGCTGGGTCACCACTGGAGGTGGGGAGTTCTGGGCCTTCCTCGCTGACTGGCGCTGTGGAGACTGGCTCTGGATGGTGGAAATGAAAGACAGGCCACGGGCTGACAGGTGTTACCGGGGGCTGCAGTGGTCACCACTCTGAAGACCAGGGAGGGCTTACAATAGGTCGGAATGTATGGATATAGTTAAAAAACAATTGACCTGAGAGCTGAGTGAAGGCTGATTATTGACCCTTGGGCGTGGGTGTATGGAAGTGACTGGCAACCTCGGGGTGCTGGATGAGGGGCGTGGGGACAGTAGCCACATGGGGGCAGTTGGAGGAAGCTAGCATGGCGACCATGGACAGCTCTCCCAGGGGGCTTTGCCTGGAGGGGAGGGACAGTTCTGGAAGGGGATGTGGGCCCAGGGAAAAGGCGTTAAACCTGGCACATAAACAGCTACCATATTTTTGGACTATTAGATGCACACCCTCACCCCTAATTTGGGGATGTGGGGGCACCTGAGGTGAGAGGGGCATGTGGGGCGTGGGGCACATGGAGGGTGTGGGGCACAGGGGGGCGTGGGACAGGCACTGAAGCGCCTTCCGCCCACCCTGCATTGCCAGCGGCCGACCAGGTGCCCCTGATGGAGGACCTGGAGCAGATCTTCCTGCGCTCCTGGCGTGAGTCGTACCTGATGGAGATCCGGCAGTACCAGCAGGCGGCGCCGCAGCCCTTCCCACCCACGCCCAGTGCCGTGGCGCCGGTCTCCTCTGCACAGCTGCCCTGGCTGGCCGGCCTGGCCGCCAGCTCCTGCAATGACAGTGTGCACGTCATCGAGTGCGCCTACTCCCTGGCGGAGGGGCTCTCTGAGATGTTCCGGCTGCTCATCGAGGGCAAGCTGGCCAAGACCAACTACGTGGTGATCATCTGCGCCTGCCGGAACTCGGCCATCGACTCCTGCATCGCCGTCACCGGTGAGGCTCTGCACCACCCAGCTGCCGAGAAGCAGCTCTGGGGGTCTCCCAGTCGCTCTCATTGGCGGTTCTGCCCTCTTAATGCCGGGGTTGGCAGCGGCAGTGGGTGGGAGCTGAGTACCGAGGGCCCCCTCCTCCTGGTGCCAGCGCTAAGCACCCTGGGTCGTGAACTCAGTGAAAATTCTAACCCCCACTCCCATCGGGGCGACTTGGGAGTCTGGACAGGCCTGTAAAAACCTGGCTTCTGCGCGCACCTGGCGATGTGATTGGCTCCTTAGAGACAGTCTCTTCCACTACCTAATGGAGATTTAAGGAGTGGCCCTGTTGTGCCGTGTGGGTTAATGAGTTCATTAACTAGTGATGAAAACACTTACTGAAGCCCTCCTCCATGCAGCCACAGCCAGGGGCTGGGGACACGGGATGGAGCGTGTGCCCTGGGCGGGAAGTCAGACCCCAAATCCAGCACAGAACCTGGCAGGTGGGAGGGCAATGGAGTAGAGGGTTTTAGTTAGGGGTTCTGGCTCCTAAGGGGGTCAGGAGAGCCTCTCTAATGGGGTGTCTTAGAAGCAGGGGTGTGAGGAATGGGGAAGCAATGCCAACAAGGGCAGGTGCGGGGCTCCCAAGACCGTGGGGCAGCAGGCTGTGCCTGGTGAGTTGAAGGGACCGCGGGCTGGCCAGGACTGTGGGGCCGTGCAGAGCCCTGAAGGCCGGGCCAGGACTCCGGATCTTTCCCTGTGCGAGCTCTTTGGACCAGAGAAGAGATGTGATCTGACTTTCTGTTCAGGGGGACTTGCTCGGCGTGTGTGGACAATAGACTGGGGGTGGAGGTGACTGGGCTGCTGGGAGTGGGCGGAGCCTCGGTGGGAGTGAAGACTGAGGGACCCCCCCCAGGAGTGGGGCCTGGGTCACCAGCCTCCTGCGGGGACTGTCTATCAAGACGGGAAGAGGTTCTAAACTTAAACCTGAAATCTTTGTGTGTTTAAAAATAATAAAAAAAAAACCCTCACATTGTTCCTGGGCAACAACCCAGTTGTCTTGCACCACCTTTGATGCTAACCTCATTCCGTAATTTTTACGTGACATTGACTTTCGCTGTACTGGGCATTGGGCTGAGTGTCTTACAAACAGGGTCTTGTGTCATCCGTGCCACCGTCCCACGAAGGGGGTACTCCCGTGAGCCCCGTGCTCCGGAGGGGGACGCTGGGTGTGGCAGGGCTCGGCAACACACCCCAGGTCAGCGGGCATCAGGTCCCACGGCCGGTACTCTGGGTGTGCCCCTCAGGACCCCACCTGGGGCAGGGGCCGGGTGTGGGGGAGGGCGGAGGAGAAGAGATGCAGGCACCGAGCCGCCGTCAAGGAGCTGGTTCTCAGCAGGGGCCCCATGAGAGTCCGTTGCGTGTTTTCCAGGGAAACACCAAGCCCGCATTCTCTCCGAGAGCCTCCTCAGCCCCGCGGAGTACCAGAAGGAGGTCACTTATGAGCTGGTTACGGGCAGAGTGGACTCCTTGGGGGCCTTTTTCAGCACCCTCTGTCCAGGTAGGCCTGCAGTGGGACAGGTGCAAATTCCCGCGTGAACCACACAGATATAAAGACACAGGGAGGGAGGTCACGGTGGAGCCCGTCCCTCCTGGGGCTGCCCTGGATTCGCACCTGCGGGGCGGCCTCTGGTCTGTGAGTCAGCGTCTGTGGCCCCGGCTGGCGTGGCCCCTCTGGTGTGGTCCCTGCCACCTTCTTGCACTGTCTGTGGCTTCTCCGGGGCTTTGTGGTTTCGGCCTTTTGGGGGCACGTGAGGGTCTTGAGCCTGTTCCTTTGTGCCCCTCTCTCCACACCACTCCCACCTCCCCCTCTGAACTGCTTGCAGCTTCTCGCAGGAGCAGCGTGTTCGCTGGGCCCCGTTCTGTGGGTGCTGTGCTGCGTGCATCCTTCTCTGATCTTTGCCTGGCGACTCACCCCCTGGACTCGCGCATAGTCCCAGAAACCTTCTCCAGGACGGGCTTAGACCCTTTCCTCGCTCTGTCCTTCTGTCTTTGTTCCTTCTGTCCCGGCACCTGTGCGTCACAGTGTAATTTCCTTACCAGGTCTGGACTCCTGGATAGGATGGGTCCCGTCGTCTTTGTCTCTTAACCTGGGCCCAGTGTGGTTCCTGATGCATTGTGGGCATTTCCCAGTGTCTGCTCCGGTTCACGAACTCGTTTCTGTTACTCTGTTTTGGGCAGAGGGCGACATTGACATTTTGCTGGACAAATTTCATCAGGAAAGTCAAGGCCACATTTCTTCTTCACTCACTGCCGCCTCTGTCACCAAATCAGCGTCCCTGGATGTCGGCGGGGCCCCAGCTTGCACAAGTGAGTGGTGAGGAGCTGGTGGCCGGGGTCTGGGCCAGCGAGGCCATGTCCGAGGACCCCGGGGCTACCAGGGGGCAACGTGAAGAGCACATCTAGAGGCCAGGGCTCCTCTGGAGCATCACACGAGACCTGACGTGTAACTTTGATTCCAGTGCGTAACAACAGGTCATTTACCCGGAAATAAACATCCGTAGGGTTTTCCTGAGAGTGCAGTTCTCTGTTGGACTTCATCTCATCAACGTGCTGTTGAAAATATCTATTCCCACTAAGTCCCTGAAGTCGTCTCCTTGACAACGCGCGCCCTCTTCCGAATCCCAAAGTCAGCCAGCTTCCCCAGGATGCCGCCCTCGTCCCCTGCCGGTGGAGCAGGTCCCAGCCTCTGAGTTCCCCGAGGGTAGTTCATCCTCGGGTGATTAAATGGGGGGACTGGTGTGTGAGATGACACCTGGAACCAGCCCGGAGCAGGCCCCCGGGAACTCTTGGTGTGTCTTCCCTTTCCCTGTGGCCTCGTGCACGAGACCAGGGTGCACTGTGTCCTTCCCCAGCAGAGGTCCAGGGCCGTGGCCCTCTGCTCCCGGCGCCTCACCCCCACGGCTCTGGTTCCAGGTTACAGCCTGGAGCCACCCCACATCCGGCCCTTCCAGCTGGCCGTGGCCCAGAAGCTGCTCTCCCACGTGTGCTCAATCGCCGATTCCAGCACCCAGAATCTGGACTTAGGATCCTTCGAGAAGGTGGACTTCCTGATTTGCATCCCGCCCTCAGAAGTGACCTACCAGCAGATGCTGTTCCATGTCTGGCATTCGGGTATGGGGCCTCCTGGGCGGGCTGGGTGTCAGCGGCGGGGGAAGTTCGGTTAAGGTCGCACTGGGGTTCGGACAGCCGTCTTCGCTGCCGACGGGGGCAGGGCAAGAATTATTGCCCCGGTTTGTGGACCGTGAAACTGGTGCTGGGAAGCAGCGACTCACCCGGGACTTTGCTCTCTGCTCAGGGGAGAACCAGCTTGGGTTCTCGCCGTGTCCCTCGCGGGTCGATGACCCGTGTGTCGATATCCTGCGTGGACGTGCTTTCCCTGTTCTTTCAAGGGGACTGAATGCAAACTACATGGAGTCAGTTCTCAAAGGAGTCCCTCTGGTCCACCCTATGTCCTGGTGGCATCCAGGCTGGGAGATGACCTTGCAGGGCCTGGGGGTCCTTCCGGTCTCTCTGTTTCCAGGCCTGGGATCAGCCATTCCCTGGAGCCGGCTCGGCTGTGTCCCCTGGGCGGGCTGTCCCTGCACAGCTGGTGTAACCCTGTCACTTGTGTGGGGCCTGCTTCCTGACTCGCCCATGTCCCACGCAGCCCTGCAGCCCAGGGCCGAGCACAGCGCCAGCCATGCACGCCAGGGGTCCACGGAGTGGATGAAAGGGGCGACAGTGTGTGTGACACACTCACTCGTGCGTGTTCACTCTGTCGCAGGGGTTCTGCTGGAGCTGGGCTTGGAAAAGGAGTGCGTGAGCAAGCAGCAGGTGGAGCAGCACGTGCTGAAGCTCGATGCCAACGCGCAGACCAAATTCAAGTCCTTCCTGCAAAACTCCTTCCAGAACCCGCACACGCTCTTCATCCTCATCCACGACCACGCCCACTGGGATCTCGTGAGGTTCGCGTGACTTGGGCAGGTGGCAGGGTTGACACGCTTATTCTTTGAGACAGTATGGATGACGTGGGGGACTGTGTCTCAGCCCTCGAAAGACGAGGGCAGTGGGGTTTGACATCGGTGACAGGCGCCGTGGCTGTGGTGCAGAACCTTCAAGCTGGGCATTGTCTCGGGCATCCAATGCCTCCTCTGAATGGTACGGTGTGGAAACTGAGGCCACAGAAGGGACGTGTCATGCTTGATGTGGTCACAGCACTGGGTGCGGGTGCTCACAGCAGAGCCTGCCCGGAACCAAGGCCCTGAATTGCACAAGGAGAAGCATTGTTGGTTTCCTGCCCAGCAGCCCGACCCCAGACTAGTGCGTCAGGGATCCCAGCAGGGGGGAGTTAGCCCCGGCCCCTTCCTGACGGAGGCCCGTTGGCTGTGGGACCTTGGGTCTCAGCAGGCACCATCCTCCTTCAAGACAGGCGTTGCATGTCCGTCCGTCCATCTGAATTGAGTAGAGAAGTTGGAGAGGACCGGTCACCTCCGCGAGACGGGCCTGGGTGTTGTGCATTTAGACCCTGCCCCTGACGTGGCCGAGGACGGGGAGGAAGGTCTGGGGTCGGGTTATGGTGGAAGGCTGTGATTTAGCACGGAGTCAGAAGTTTAGGGCTGCCTGGAGCCTTAGAGATCACCATCCAGGTAAATGGCTCCCAACCCGGGCCAGGGTATGGGCCTGGGGAAATCGGAGCATCCTGAATTATATAACAGGAGGGTCCATTTTGAACATTTATTTTGAGGGTAGGCTTCTCGCCCATAAGGTGAGTTTCTAGTTCTTGTTATTGCCCTAGACTTGCAGGTGAGGGGGCTGAGGCTGTTGTTCCGCAGAGCAATCGGCCCTTGTCTCCTAGGCCCCCGTCTAGAAGGCTACCACTCCATTCCTACACTTCTTAGAGATCCTCACTCGAGGACATGCCTACTGACATTAAAGGGGGGAGAGAGGGGGAGGAACAGGGACTGCCTGCCTCTCACACGGGCCTGGACCGGGGCTCAAACCCATGACTGCTCGGCTTACAGGTCGATGCCCCAACAAGGGAACCACACCAGCCAGGGCTCCATTTCAATGCTTTTAAACTGAGTACAGCAACCTGCCCTTTACACGTTCCTTGGATTGTTTCAGAGTCAGCAGGCCTTCGGGGAAAAGAGTTTAAGGAGATGGGTAACAGATTGGGCCAAGGGAGAAAGGGTGGTCCCGCAAACACTCCTGGGTGACAATCGTCATTTGGGGAGGGCGGGTGCATTGTGTCCCCTGCAGGAAACCCTCTGTAGACAGTGTCCCGGCCGAGCTGTCAGTTAGTAACTGGCACCAGGGGTGCCCTGGACGGGTGTCTGCAGCAAAGTCCTTTAAGAAACGTCTGTTTTTCTTGTCATGGGCAGAGCTATGCACCTTGATGGTTGGCAGTGTTGGGGGGCTATTTATGAGCATATTAACTGCTCGATCCTGTGCAGGCATAGGTCGGGGTTACCCATTCCACTGACAGTCCCGTCTCCCCACTTCCTCCCTCAGCAGCGCCGTCCATAACCTCTGCTCCCAGAGCGGCCCGTCTGCGGGATGGGTGGACCGACTGCTCAACTGCAGGGAGGTGAAGGAGGCCCCCAACATCGTGACCCTGCACGTGACCTCTTTCCCTTACGCGCTGCAGACACAGCACACCCTCATCAGCCCCTACAACGAGATCCACTGGCCGGCTTCCCACAGTGACGTGAGTGCCGCCCCTGCCGCAGCCGCAGCCGGGAGGAAGTCTCTTCAGCAGGGATGCTGGTTAACGAGGGTGCCTGGAGGTCCCAGGGGTGCCAGCTCCTTGGGTCTTTAATTTGACCCAGGGCTAGGTTTCAACCCTCCTTGCTGTTCAGGAACATTCCCAGAATCCATCGGTTGGCTTCCTCATCTTAGAACAGAGAAGGTTTTGCCCAGCAGCCTCAAAACTGTCCCTGTTTGTCCTGTCCCGTGTCCGTGAGCCGGGAGGCTCAGCATCTCCTTCTGAGACTGAATGCGCGCCCACGAAACCCAAGAACTTGCCCTTTCTCATCCGAACAGAAGTTCGCCGCAGCTCCCGTGACTCGAGGGGTCTGGGTGGTCAGGTGCCAGTTGATGGCACAAGGAGTCAGCAAGCGGCAGTTTTCTGGGCTTGTTTGGGGTGTCCCAGGGTCACCTGAGGAGCTTTTAAAGATCCCAAGCTTGGCCGCTGTCCAGTGGATTCGGCCTCAGTGGTGGCGAGTTGGCACTTGTTTGTGTGGTGTTCGCCCTGAGCCGGGTGGGCCCGGTCCGAGGGCTCCATCACATGAACTCATTTCAGACACAAAAGCTGGGAGGATTTGATTTACAGATTGGGGCGGGGGTGGGGCTGGGCCACTTGTCAAACCACACAGCTAAGAAGGGGCAGCCAGGTGTGACCCAGTCGGCTGGCTCCGAGGCCCTCCCACCCCGCACTGAACCACGGGCTGTTTGAGGCTGAAGTCCATGTCTTTGTAATTGTATCAACCTCCCTGACCTTGCTCTGGCATTTGGGAAGCTCCGATGTTAGTTTGGGAGGGACTGTATGTCAGTGTGAATAAAATTGGTTGGATGGATATATTTTTCCTGTCAATTTTAATAATAGTGGAATGCAAGATGGTGGACTGTTCATAAAGCCAGCTCAGGTTGTTGGAGAGAAGCAGTTTTAACAACAAAAGCTGCATGTTGAAAGAAAGATAAAGCTGGTTTTCTTTGCAAACATGCTGGGGTCAATGAATGGAAAAGCCCTGACTCATGGGGTCACGCTGGCCTTTAAGTGTGGAGCACTCTGTGCTCCAGGCCTGCAGAGGATAGAGTGAAATGCCTCCAGGGGACAGCAGAGCCAGCACAGTTCAGCCAGGATGCCCGCCAGGGCGCCCAGCATGTGACCCTCTCAAGTCTCCACAGATGTGACGCTTGAGTGACCAGCGCTCTTCTCTGCCTTAGGGTATGGACTTGTATCCCGAGAGTAAGAAGTACTTCGGGCTGTCAGAGTTCATCGAGTCGACCCTTTCGGGACACAGCCTCCCCTTGCTCAGATATGACAGTTCCTTCGAGGCCATGGTCACCGCGTTGGGTAAAAGGTACGCATCCCTCTTTGCAGTTCCTAGCGTGGCCCAGTGGTCAAGTGCAAGTTGAGGTGGGTGCAGCCAGGCAGCTCCAGAATGGGACTCACCCTGGGTGACTCGGTCCCTCCAGCAAAGGGACCTGGTTTATTTTGTGTCCTGTGTTTTGGGCCAGTGACGCCTGTCATACTGTCACTCCAGAAAACCCCAGAGACGAGAATGGGCAGGAGGACGCTGGAACTCGGGACTGCGTGTGGGAGACCTAAGGGAGGGAACAACATGGGTGGGGAGATACCAGAAGGTCTAAAGGTGGCGATGATGGCCGTCCCAGCCCGCTCCAGGTTTTATTTCCTTTGAGCCACTTGCTGTCCCAAGAGGCTCACTTTTACAATCTTAGTCCTCACTGCTTCTCTGAGCCCGTGGATGTGCTTGTCCCCGTTCTGCAAATACACAGAGGCTCAGTGAGACACCGTGACTCTCTCTGACCACGTGTCTCATGAGGGACAGGGCTGCTGGAGAAGGCAGAGCCAGTTGGATGTGACAGCTTGCCCTTTGACCCCTGTCACAGTGGAGCTCTGAGGCAGGTGCTCCTGCTGCCCTTTTACAGATGAGGAAACAGAGGCCCGGGAGGTCAAGTGATCGTGACACCACATAGTTCCTACATTGCAAAGCCCGGCCCGAGTTTGCAGACTAACACATTGTCCGGGGAAATGGGCGGGCCCTGCTGCTGGGGGTGGGTGGAGCTGGGCTCCGCCACTGGCCCTCGTGCACCTCGTTTTTCACGCTTGCCCACAGAGGGATCCAATCAGACTTGTGCTTCTCAAACTGTGTTCCAGGGTATGCTGCTCTGGCTGGATACTAATAGGCCTTGGCCAAAAGGGGTTCCATGGTCACACATGTTTGAGAAACCTCCCATTGAACCAAAGAATTTCTTTTTCATGAGCGTCCATGTGCCAGGGAGGCCATAAGTCTCGAGGAGATGGCCGGAGTGTGTGGCACCCCCAGTATCTCCTGGAATGAGGGTCCTTCACAGCGCCCTTTGAGAAACCTAATACCTTTGCTACCTCGGAGCACCTTGATGCTGACGGGTTTAACCAGGCCACTTCTGCAGCTCTGGACAGGCAGCTGAACACTCATGAACTTGCTGAGGGAGGAAGCTGTGGCATTGTCCCCAAGGCTGTGAGAGCTGACCTTGGCCCTGCCCTGCTCTGTGCTCACTCAGCCTGGTCTTGCAGTGAGCGTGCGTGGGGTGCCGAGGGAACTGCTGTCCCCCGAGCCGAGTTGAGTGCAGTCACTTCCCACCATGCTGGGGGTGGGGAGGAGAGGGTGCTGCTGCCTACTCACCATCCTGCCCTTCTGACCTCGCTCAAGGTGATGGGGCCACCAGAGCTGGGGCAGTAATGTGGGGCAGGGGACACAGTGTGCTCTGCACTCTGCCTTCTTCTTTCCTTCCTTGGCACTGCAGGGCCAGGGCAAAGCAGCCAGAGTCCCTTGGCAGCACAGTCTGTGGAGCAGTGTGGTTTTCCTGGGTAGCTTCGGTAGTGGCAGCTGGCCTGGCCAACCCCAGTCTGTGGGACCCGTTGGGTGGTGGAAGTGCTCGGAGAAAGAATGAAGAAGAGGCAGGGGCAGGTCTCAGAGATGCTGTCAGAAGGCCGGCTGGCTCCCCGCCTTCCCCACCCGTCGGGGGACGTGGCCACGGGAAGGTTCCCGACTTTGCAGGTCAAGAGATTACTTTGTCTTTGCTTCAAATGGTTCTTAGTGAGCAGGCTCATTCCAGCGAAATGCACTCAGAGGGGTGCTGTGTCTAAACTGGGTGTTGTCGTCTGTGCTCCTGCTGGGAAACACGCGACCTCCGTTCTGGAGTCTGTTCCAGAGCTGCTCCAGCCGTGCGCCTGCCAGGGTTTGGGGTGGGGGGCCACCACCGCCGCATGACCCTGTGTAGTGACCATGGCTTCTAGGCAGAGCACTGGGCCTCCTGTTTCGACTGGACGTGTTCTGATTTGTCACTCACTCTCAAAGTCAATCACGTTTAGTTACAGTGCCACGAACTATGAACATGCTGTCCTTGAGGGGAATGACTGACGTGCCTTTAGGACGACCTCCCGAATCTGGGGTCTGTGGCGGCTGCACTCACACAGCGACCGCTGGCGGTTCTGCCCCTCCTGGCAAATGGCCTAACTCGGGGAAGGACACACGAAGCTGGTTATGGACCAGGCAGGCATTTTATTCATATGTCTGTTCATTCATTGAACAACTATTTACTGAAACACCAGCAATGACAGACCCGTCCTTGTGTTTCCTAGCTGGACACGCTGAAGCGGGAAGGCTTCTATCTCAGGTTCCGAACAGCCAGTGTCAAAAGATGTGTGACAGGGCTGTGACCTGGGCGTGGTGCAGGGTTGACCTGGGTTGTGACCTGGGTGACCTGCTTGCTATGCACAGGCCTCCTCCCCGCCTGGAGCTGCACGGACGGCCTGGGGAGGGCTCACGGCCGGTCTCTCTGCTCAGGTTCCCGCACCTGCACAGTGCCGTCATCAGGACCTTCGTCCTGGTGCAGCACTACGCGGCCGCCATGATGGCGGTGAGCGGCCTCTCGCAGATGAAGAGCTACACCTCGGTGGAGACGCTGGAGATCACCCAGAACCTCCTCAACGCACCCAAGCAGTGCCCCTGTGGCCACGGGCTCATGGTCCTGCTGCGGGTACCCTGCTCGCCGCTGGCGGCCCTGGCCTACGAGCGCCTGGCCCACGTGAGGGCGCGGCTGGCGCTGGAGCAGCACTTCGAGATCATCCTGGGCAACCCCAGCTCTGGCCTCACCGTCGGGAAGCACTTTGTGAAGCAGCTCAAGGTGGGCGCTCTCCCCAGGGGCAGGTGGGGTCATGGAGGTCTGGGAGTGGGGTGGGCGGGGACGGACTGGTGACAAACTCCTTAATGTTGTATCCTCCATGGCCTCTCCGTGCCTTGCCGCCCCTCCTGCTACCTCTCTGGCCAGGTCTCCACCTGCACCTTTCAGTCCAGAGGTACCAAACTACCGATGCAACCCCCCCTTGCTGCCCTCCTCCTGCCCCTACTCACTATCTTGCTGTTTCAAACTCCTGAGGTGCAGCGTGCTTCTGTGTTCCTGGGGGTGTGTCTCTTTTCCTTTGCTCAGCCGATATCTGTCAGCCTGTGGGGCTCCACGGGGTGTCCTTTCCCCTTTCAGCAAGCTGCCCCTCCCACACACCTGGGGCTGCTTTGGTGTTCTGTGCCCTCTGGCTCCTCCCCCAGGCGATGGGTGGAGGGCGGAAACCATCCCCAGAGATCTCAGTCTCCCACACTTAGTGCAGTGCCCGGCTTAGAGCAGCTTCTCAGTAAATCTCCGGGTGATGGGAAACACTGAAGTGTTATGTTAGAAGGAATGTTGGAATGGTGACTGAGGAGGAACTGTGAGTGGGAGGCGCATTGCCACAGCAGAGCGACAGTAAAAAACAGGAGACACACTGAGCCCAGGGAGTCAGGGAGCAGGTGTGTCCCGAGCAGCTGACCCACACCAGGAACATGGTGGAGAAGAGGGTGACCTGCTTATCTGCAGTGCAAAGAACGTCCCTTTCTATCAAAGGACACGAGGCAGGGTTTTAAATCAGTGGGAGGCCATCCAGGTTCCCTGGAGCTGGGCTAGCTGCAGAGTCGGGAGTCTTAGGTCTCATTTCTTTTTAATTATCAGCAGATGTGGCAGAATATTGAGGATGCGGAGTGGAGACCTCAGACTTACTTGGAGTTGGAGGGCCTGCCTTGCATCCTAATCTTCAGTGGGATGGACCCACACGGGGAATCCTTACCGAGGTGAGAGGAGGGGGCTCTGCCCCTGGGGTCTTTGAGGAACCTGGGCCCACACCTGGGGCTTCTCTAGGCTGGGCTTCCACCACCCAACTCTAGGGGACTCATTCACATTCACAGTGATTGTAGGTTTGTGTTTTTATGATGACGGTTTTCTAGCTCATGGCAGTGAACTGTAAGACCTGGGACACTTTCCCTAGTTCTCTGCTTGTGAGGGCAGAGTGGGGGCTGTTGCTAGGCTCTGGGTGTAGACCCTGCAGTTTGTCCCCAGGGCAGGGGGGAGGGCTGTCACCCTGATGGGGATGGCCATTCCACTTAGGAAAGTGTTGGATCATCGTGGCTGCGTTTCCTGCTGGTCTGGGGGAGAGCTGGTCCCTCCAGGTTTAGGGCGTGTGCTGGAAGGGGCTGGTGGCTGGTGGCTTCTTGGGAAGAGTTCTTCTGGCTCTCGGGGCTGACTGTCTTGGGGGCCGTGTTCCTGGCCCCCACAGCTGAGCAGACGGCTGCAAGCCCACGTGTCGTCTCCTGGGGACCCCCACAGGCCAACAGACACTCAGGACAGAGGTCCCTGGCTGGGCCTTCAGTCCGGAAGTTGCTGGCATTGGTGGTCACAGGTTGGCTTTTAAAGACTGACTGCACACCCCAGGGCAGAGGAGGCAGCCACGCTCAGTGGCTCTGCCCATCTCTGCTTACGTGACAAAACAGGAGGGGCTGATGTTTTCCGAGTCCCTGCTACACGCTGGCCACCCTCCTAGACCCTTTTCCTGTGCCTCATTTCACTTGACTCATGTAACCCTGGGGGCAGGCATTGGTCCAGGAGCCCCAGGGCAGACAGAGGTTAAGCGCCGGGGCTGCCTGGTTGCCTTCCACTGGGCTGCACCCACGTGGACAGGGGCCTGGGAAGAGGGCTCCAGACCTCTGACTTTGGTTGTTGCTATTTCACAAGGGTGAACGCTTCCATTCCTCAGCTCTGTAAGGGCTCAATGCCTTGATCCGTCTTACACTTGTGCAAGGGCTTATTGGGCATCCTCTCTGTATTGGGCACTGTGCTCGACTTTTGATGTCGCATCGGCCCTGTGCTACACTAGTGCTCCTGTCCTGTTTTGAAGATGAGCTCGTGGAAGGCCATTTGCCCAAGGTCACCCAGCAGCCCGTCACAGTCTCTCTCTTTGAGCCCTGCACTGGCCTGGCCTCTTCCTCTGAGGACCCCACTCCTGGTCGGGGTCTGTCTCCCAGATGGACTCTCATTTCCCATGGGATGGTGACTCGATTGTCATATGTTCCTAACACCTAGCACAGTCCCTGGCACACTTTTATTGTCAATGAATAATTACATACCTAACTGTTACATCCACTCCTCACTTAGGTGGTTATTCACGTTCTTCCCCATTCATCATTATTCAGGATGTTTTTCAGAGGAAAACATCCTGAGCCTCCCCGAGTGGTTACACACCGTGGAAGGGTCTGTCACTAGGAAGGGACAGGGCCGAACTTTGAGGCTCGTTTCTTCCACACTCAGTGCCCTGCCCCTTACACGGAGCACAGGCCGAGATACAGCAGGGTCTCAGACACGTGCAGCTCAACCCGCACTGGCTGGCGGAAGGCTCCGAGCAGGCCGCTGGTTTTTCCCTCTGCGCAGCCCCGGGCCCAGCGCGAAGGGCAGGGGGGCGGTGCCACGCACCATTTCCCTCCCCGCTAGCGAGTGCGGTGCTTCCTTGCAGAAGGCTCCGGCTGGACACCTCTTCCGTTCCCTCCCAGGTCTCTGCGGTACTGTGACCTGCGTCTGATCAACTCGTCCTGCCTGGTGAGGACAGCGCTGGAGCAGGAGCTGGGCCTGGCCGCGTACTTCGTGAGCAGTGAGGGGTCCCCAGAGAAGGGGCCCCGGAGCGAGGGCGTGGAGAGCGACGCAGAGAAGCTGAGCGGCACAGACAACGAGGACGAGGAGCTGGTGACGGAAGGTTGGCCGCCTGCACTTACTAGTCCCGTAGACAGTGGTGCTGCGTGGCCCTAGGGCAGTGGGGGTCCCCCACTGAGATGGGGGTGCCTCACTGGCCTGCCCTGCCACGCCCCTTACTCCTCAGGTCCTCTGGACACTGAGGGGTGGAAGGGTGGGTGCCAGGATGGGGAGCAGTGATGGGTGGGAAGGTACTTGTTAGTGCGGGGTGAACCTGGAAGCTGTGCCTTCCAGGCGTTTGCACAGGTGCGTGTGTTTCCAAACAGGCTGCCCCTCGGAGAAGAGGAGCCCCGTGAAGAGGGAGCGGTCCTGCTCCCACGACTCGGCATCCTCGGGCCTCTCTTCCAAGGCGTCCGGTGAGTCTCCCAGAGGGAATGAGTTCAGAGATGGATCAAGAGATCCTTTGCTTTTGCCTAGAACTGGAAAGAAATGGGATTTCAGAAGTGGACTTTCTAGAGTAAGCGTTTTTCTGGACTGGGGCCTGGGAGCACGAGGCGTTTCAGCAGGACCCTGAGGTGCGGCGGCCCGTCCTGGGGGAGGACTGTGGACTCTGTCCTGTTCAGTGGCCTGTGTGGGGCAGCCACAGGGGGCCACCCCCTTGGGGCTCCCCCCAGGTTTGGAGTCAGGAGGAGGGGAGCAAGGTGAAGTCTTCTGATAGAGTCTGAGGGTGCAGAGAGGTGGGCTTGAGACTTCAGGTGTTGCAGGTGGAGGTGTGGTGAATGGAGAAAGGATTCCAGGCAGCGGAAGCTTCACAGGGTCAGGGTGCTCAAAGCAGGGAGGAGCTTGGGTGCAGGGAGTGGCCCTGAGGAGCACGCAGGGTGGGGTGAGGGTGTGGCCGCAAGGTTGAGAGGGGTGGGGGGTGTTAGTGCACGGCACGGCACAGCAGGGGACTTGGCCTGGGAGCCCCTTCGTTTTCCACCTTCCTCTCCCTCCTCCTGCAGGTCAGGGCAGGAAGGGATTGGCAAGGAGAGGCCTTTGACGTGGTGTGGGGGGCGTTGGGGGGGTGGGTCACACCATGTGGGGGTCACCAGCTCTCTCCAACCAGCAGATCCTGGGTGTGTCATAGGACAGCAGAGGCTGTGTGTCACCAGCGGTGGGATTTCATTGACAAAAAGGCCCAGCGCTGGCCCAGCGAGGGCAGTTCCTGCTGCAGAAACTGGTAGCCAGCAGGTGTTGGGACTGGTCGTTACTCGGTGTGACCAATGGGTTTCTCTCCCCAGGCTCAGCACTTGGTGACGAGACCTCGGCTCAGCCTGGGGGGCCCTGGCAGGGGGAGCGGGCCTGGTCCCCACAGCCCTGCGGCCCTTCAGAGGAGGGCAGGGCCCCTGGTGACAAACAGAGGCTCCGAGCCAGTCAGGGGCCCCCATCAGGTGTGAGCAGGCACAGCCCCGGGCCGGCCCCCCAGCCTGACTCCGGCCTCAAGACCAGCCAGAGGGATGTCCAGGTGCAGACCACCTCATCGTCCCAGCTCTCCTTTTTGGGCTCGTCTTCCTCATCCGCTGCACCTGCCGCCAGCACCCCGGCCCCGCAGGCCCCCCGGTGCTCCATGGCCAAGGCCTGCCGGCAGCCGCCGGTCGTCTTCCTGCCCAAGCTGGTGTACGACATGGTCACGGCCACGGACAGCGGCGGCCTGCCCAAGGCCACCTCGCTGCTGCCCTCCCACTCGGTCATGTGGGCCAGCTCCTTCCGCCCCCCGCTCAGCAAGACCATGACCTCCACGGAGCAGTCCCTGTACTACCGGCAGTGGACGGTGCCACGGCCCAGCCACATGGACTACGGCAGCCGTGCCGAGGGCCGCGTGGACGGCTTCCACCCTCGCCGGCTGCTGCTCAGTGGGCCCCCGCAGGTGGGTGTGCGCCGCCGTGGCCCAGCCCCTGTGGGTCCTCGTGTACGGGCCTGGGTGCCTAGGGCTGCCGTGCGCAGGGCAGCATCTTCTGTGATGGTTCCTCTGTGGGCAGGTGGACAGAGGCCAGGGCCTGGGTGACTCCTGTTCTCTCACCTTAGTTTCTTCTCACATGAAGCGGAGGGTGGGCGGGTGGGTTCCCTGGGTGCTTCTGGCTCTTTCAGACGGCGATTCTGCCTCTCCCACCTCGTTCCCCAAGCCAGTCTGTGTGACCTGCTGCCTGGCAGGCTGGCAGCATCCCCGCCTGTTGTGTTTCCCTGGCAACAGCAGGCCACTTCACCTATCTAATGGCAAAAACGCTCACGAGGTGAAGGTCCAGTACCGTGGAGAGGACTATGGGGCAGTAGCCGGGCTTGGCAGGGGCTTTGCCAGCCCAGTGCAGAGGTGGTTGGTGGGCCCCGGACTGGGCTGCTGGGCCAAACGCCGACTCCTGCTTCACCGGGCTCTCTGGGCGGGTCCGCCTCCCTGCCCTCAGCCAAGCATGAGGGACACAGTAGTCCCTGCATCACCGAGATGGGGGCATTAGATGAGAGAACCACAGGACACCCAGACACGGCTTGGCTGTGGTAGAAGCACACACCACACAATGTCCCCCGTGGTCCCCATCAACGGCTGCCTTCTGACCGGACATGCTCATCGTCCAGAGTTTATTCCAGGAAACGCAAACCCACAAATATATGTCTAAGGGGGCTCGTGTCAGTATTGTTTTCAGTTATGAGAAATACCTGGGGACAACTCCACTGGTCAGGGAGGGTTGAGTAACTTCGGTGCAGTTGTGACCTTGAGCCCTAGAAAATCTGAGCTAGATCTGCATACGCTACCTCTGAGTTTTCCCTAAGCTATTGAAGTGTTTAAAACGTTTCAGGACACTAGATACAGGGTGTGACGTCAATTAGGAAGAAAAATCGGCATGTGTACCATGTGTCTCTGGGAATACGCCTGAAGCAGCCCCCGACAGAACGGCCATTGAATCTTACCCGGGGGAGGGGGCGTGGGACTTGCGAATATTTTACTTCATTGTTTTCCTGTATTTCTGGAACTTTGACATGAGCATTTATTTTTAAAACAGGAAAAGGTTTTACAAAAGAGAGTACTGGTTTCTCTATGCTCTCACGTTACTGCATGTAATCAGTCTCGAAGATGTTTACCTATTTGATGGGGGAAAATAGTATTTTGTTTTATTAGTAAGGTCAAATACATTTTTGTCTGTCATTGGTACTTCTCGTACAGTGCTATTTGCTGGTTTCTTTTTCTGTTAGGCCATTTGACTTTTTCCTGCCATAGGAGCTCTTCGGAGAGGACAGACTTCAACCCTTTGTCTAAGATATATATTGCAGATATTTTCTCTGAAGCTTGCCCTGGTCATGTTTCATGTTTTCTTTTTCAAAGTTAGTTACTTGTGTTCGTCAGCGTTTGCTGAGCACTTACGGTGAACGAGGCATCAGACCAGGAAGTTGAAGGGCACAGCCCTGGAGCGCCGGCGGGGGGGGAGGGGGGAGCATTCTGGGAATCCAGCAGGCACACATCTAACCAACTGCTCCCAAAACAAACCCATGACCAATAGTATACTAGCGTGGTGCTCAGCTCAGGGCGCAGGGGACTTGATGCGAAAAGAGAAGGAAGAAGAGAAAAACCATTTTCTTTCTTTTCCCAGACTTCAGAGGAGACGCTGACATCTCATGTTTTTGTTTTCTTACTGTGGACATACCAATTAAGACAAGAAGAGCGATTTGCAACATGCAGGGTTCTTAAGAAATTATGTTTTGTCTTGGCAGTTTATTTTCTCTGAAGGAAACTTTCTTTGCCTTGCGACTAAGTCCCATTTCTAACAGCTCGAAAAATGTGGCTGGTTAGAGCTGGAGACGCACCGCAGTGATGTATAAGTGGCGGGGGGGGGGTGGTCCCCATGCTCTCCGAGGTCATTATAAAAGACGGAGGTGACCCGGGGTGGACTGACTGCTGGCTCCCATCTCCTTGTGCCCACAGATCGGGAAGACAGGTGCCTACCTGCAGTTCCTCAGCATCTTGTCTCGGATGCTCGTCCGGCTCACGGAGGTGGATGTTTACGACGAAGAAGAGATCAATATCAGTGAGTTTTACCCTCTGGTGACGCTGGGGCTTGGGTCGTCTTTCATCAGTTTCTCAGGTGACTTCGTATCTTTCTGGATGAAATTCTCAGGTTCATGATCAGACGCCCCGAGGGGGCTGGTGGGTGCCTTGGTCTTTCCTTGTAGTCATTTTGCTCAAGGTCAGACTATTGGGTGGGAGGCCTTTGTAGGGCTAACGCTACTACTGTACCAAAAGTAACCGTCCTTGGCTGAGTGGGTCCCACGTGCTGGGTGCCCGGCGTCAGTGACCACATTTAATCTCCCGAACACTGTGGTTGCTCCTGGTAAGTTACCAGCTTCATCCATTTCCCTGTAAGTCATGTGCTCGGGAGCCCAGCTGGGAAGTGGCAGAGCTGGAACAAACCTGGATCTGAGTGTTGCCTCCAGAAAGTGGGGCTGTCCATCAGGGGCTCCCCCCGCCTGACATCAGCTGTGCCATACATGGGGACAGCCTTGTCTCCTCATGCACGAGACAGAGTTTACCCCGAAGGAGGTAAGGCCCTTCCACCAGCTGGTTTACCCTGTCGTGGGACTTGGCCTTGCTGTCCTCCCCACAGGCGTCTCCCAGCAGCCAGGAACTTGGGCTGGTAAACACGTGGTTGCTTTGGGGACTAACCTTTGTTAAGGAGCCCTGAAGGGAGCCAGTAAGCTGTGCTGGCATCTTAACAGCACTCAGAAAACGGTGGCCCTGGCTGGCGTGGCTTCGTTGGTTGGGTGGTCGTCCCGTAACTGAAAAGTTGCGGGTTCAGTCCCTGGTCCAGGCGCGTATGGGAGGCAGCCAATCGATGCTTCTCTCTCGCATGGATGTTTCTCTCACACCCCCTTCCTCTCACTCTGAGGGCAATGAAAAAATGTCCTCAGGCGAGGATGAAAACATTAAAAAATCGTGCATCTTCAAGATGTACGGCTTGATTTGGTACATGTGGGCCCTGTGTGTCTACACCTTAGTCACGCTGATTAACACAGCTGTCACCTCACACAGTGGCCGGGTCCACTGCAGCCTTGCTCGTGGCATCGAGGACACGCTGTCACATTTGTCCATGGAGGGTGAATGGCCACCCGCGGACCAGTGGGGACAGAAAACACAGTATTCACGCACGATCGGCTCACTCGGCCTGGACAAGGAGGGTGGTCCTGCCACATTCGTGCTCCGAGCTCCTTCAGATGCTCTTGACTGGGCCACGGAGTTGGGGGCTGCTGAGCGCCAAGGATGCCCGCCCGGCGCTGGTCTTGCCTTTGAAGGCAAGAGTCTCTTCCAGCTCCGGTTTTCCACAGTCCCCCACAGTTCGTAACTGCATTTCAGACGAGACCAGGCCTGTTGAGTTTCTGTTTCCTCCTTCCTGGGAGAGATGCCAGGATTCATAAAGACGGGATTCGAATCCAGTCTGTTATGCCTGGAAGTGCAATTTGTTAAATATTCTTATCTCCTGGGTTTCCTCTTCAGTACGACCTGGTGATTCCTGTTCTGCAGGGTGCTGCGGACACTGTGTGATGTTACATACACGCAGCACTGAGCTCCTCCAAATACACGGTGAACGTCCCCCCTCCTTTCCTCCTCCTCCTCTTCCTCCCACGGGGCATGCGCTCTGCCCAGGTGTTCAGTGCACAAGGGGAGAGAGGGGTACGTAACATACACAGAACCGATGCATAGCAGAATTCGAGTTGGACCAACTGGACTTTGTTTAACCTTTTGACCAACAAGCATGTAGTGAGCACCCGCAGCCTGTGCCGATTACAACGTAAGGTGATACTCGGAGCATGGGAGAGAGCAGTGTGGGCCAGGGCGGTGCTGGCATTCACAGGGAGGGAGGGAGGGAGGAAGCAGTGGGCCTGAGCTCTCAGAAGAGGCTTTCCAGAGGGGTGGGGCTTGGAGCTGGGCGGTATCAGCTGGGTGGCATTTAGATGCAAGAGCAAGTACACAAGGTTCCACGGGCGCTGGGAATCAGTGTGATGCATTCGGGAGGCAGTGCTGGGGAGCAGCACGGAGCAGGGGGAGGGCAGGTATGCTGGAGGACCCGAGGAGGCCGAGGGTCAGAAGAACAAAGCTGCCCCATAGCAAACTCGGCTGCTCCTCTGGGTAGAGGTTGTGCCGAATGTGCCCTCTCGCCTCCGCAGAGCAGTCCCGAGACGGGCTCGTGCCCTCCAGGTGCCACAGTGTGCCCCCAGGGGCCCCAGACTCAGTAACCGCTCCACACAAGTCTGAAGTGAGCCGGTCCCTGATCTTTTGTCACGATTCTGGGTGTGTCCCCATCTCGCAGACCTCCAGGAAGAGCCCGACTGGCGTTACCTCCAGCTTGGTGACCCCTGGCCAGACCTGGAACTCTTCAAGAAGCTGCCTTTCGACTACATTATTCACGACCCCAAGTACGAAGACGCCAGCCTCATCTGTTCTCACCATCAGAGCGTGAAGGTCGAAGGTCAGACTTGATATCTCCCAGAGCACGTGGGGGCGGCCCCTGACGGGAGTCCACCAGATTTTGGTAGTGGTTAATGTAAGGATCCAGCAGGGTGAGTTCGTCAGCAGCGCCCAGCACTGAGATCAGCGGTTCCCTGGAGGAGGAAGGGCTGCCCCGGAAACCCAGGAAGGAGGACTGACCGCTCAGGGGGTCCGATGGCAGTGAGGACACACCGGCTGCTTGTCACAGCCAGGGTGTTCAGAAGGCCCTGGTGCGCAGAGGGTACCGACACGTACCTTTGTGAATTTGGGTCATGGCAACAAAGTGCTCCTACTTCCCTCTCCTCCCTCAGTCTCTTGCTTCCTCCCGCCTCCTGCAGGGACTGCTGTCTGTCACTGCATCGTGACCCAGCTGTGTGTCAGGGTCCCCGTCTGCAAATGGGATGTTAGTGGCCAGTGTGGTGGTAAACACTGAGAGGAGAGTTCAGTGAGCTTGGTGTGTGAGACAGATAAACACCATTGTCTGTTTCAAACTGATGCTTTTGTCCCCGTGGCTCTCCATCCCTGTCACCGTGGGGCCCTCCACGTAGGCTCATCTCCGTTGAAAGTTCAGCAGGAGACGTCATTTGGAAAAAAATGGGGACAGCTCACCTGCATGACAAGTCCTTGTGTATCACATTGGCAGTCAGTCTCCCCAGTCGTGTAGTGAGTCCTTGGATATACATTGATAAAATGTTCCCAGGCTCATGAATAAGGTGACGTGGAAACAGTCTCAGTTTACCCCGCGCAGACTGTTGTTTTTGCCCAGTTGGGCCCCTCCCCCGGCGACCCCCCCCCCCCAGCCCCAGACCTTGTGCCAGCACATCCCGCGCAGGAGGGTGTGACCGGCTGCCTCTGCTGATCGGTGACGCTGGGGTTTCCTGCAGACAGGGGGGCGCCCCGGAGGCCGGAAGACCTGTACGTGCGGCGTCACACGGCGCGCATGCGGCTGTCCAAGTACGCGGCCTACAACACGTACCACCACTGCGAGCAGTGCCGCCAGTACCTGGGCTTCCACCCCTGCTACCAGGTAGGCCGCGGGGCGCCGGGCCCGGGGTGTCGCCTTCGCCGATGCCGCGGTTTCCCTGTCTGGGTTCATTCTGGAGTGGGAGGCGGGGAGCCCGGGAAGCGCTTGCTTCCTGGTCTGCTTGTATTCTCACTTCCCTTCAATAATCTGGACTCACTGCCTTCACTGCCCAGCAGTGGTTCTCCAGGGCCCCTCGTTCATGAGCATCAAGGTGAGCTGCCTGCGGAAGCTTATTGTCTTTACGTCCTAGCAATTCGGAAAGGGCCACGCAGCGGGCACTCTCCGCATGCTTGTGCTGGGTGGCCAAAAAGTCCATTCACTGTTTTCTGTAAAATAAAAGGTACATTTTTCATTTTCACCACTAATTTTGATGACTTGGGTATTTTGAGTATGTCAGCTCTCTCTTGCTACTGGCCTCTAGTGTGGAGAGGCTGGGGCGCTGCTAAACATCTTCAGTGCATGAGACAGCCCCACGGCAAAGAATTATTTGGCCAAAATGTCAGCAATGGCATGAAACTTCCCAAACCACTTTTTATACATTCGATCAGTCACAGCACCTTCTCCATACACTGCACAAATCTTTTTTTTGCATTTCAGTTGCGTTTTGAACTTTCTTGAAATAATAAAAGATAACGTGCCAAAAATGTTACATATTTTCTTCCATCTTCAACATTAAAATGGCTGGACAAAAATTTACCAGTTTTGGTAAGTTTTTTAAAATGCATGCTGATATGACAGCTGTCACAATACGATTTAACAGAATTGTTTTAAATAAAGTTAAAAATAGCTAAGCACTACTAGAACCATCATTTGGAAAAAGCGTAACGGACTTTCTGGCCAGCCTGACATGTACCAGCTACACACGCAGAGGTGAATCAACTTTGTTTCCATTCTCACCACTGGCGGCGTAGGGACAGAGATGTGCGTCAGCAAAACTTCAGGACGCTGTGAACCTGCAAGAAGAGCAGTGCGGTCGAAGCACAGAAATGGTGTAAGGAGAGGAGTGTGCACCTACTGAGCACCTACTGTGTGCTGGGCAGTCTGCCGGGCACTTTTCTATCTCAGCATCTCCCAACCTATGTACGTGGAGAAAGTGTCATTTGCCCTGGACACTGGCCCAGGGCCCCAGCTGGTCCCCTGAACTAGTCTGCGTTGAAGTCACACCTATAATCCATTCAAGGTGCACAGGTTAAGAAACTGTCCTGTATAGTTTCTTATTTAATTCTCACTAAAACCTCATGAGGCAGTAGGGGTTTTTGTCACCTCAGAAACTGTCCCCAGAAGATTCATGGAGGACAAGTGGCGGAGGGAGGAGGTGAAATGAGAGCAGGGGGCCACAGCCGAGGGGACCCACGCCGAGCCCCCAGGAGCTCTGCAGGGTGCACACCAGTTTCCTCTGCTCATCCTGCCCCTCCCTTGTCCCCCGAGGCTCCGAGGGCCTTTTTACGAAATTTCCTCAGCTGCGTCCCTCTGTGTTCCCTCCCCAAGTCCAAATCTATCTTTTCCTCCTGCTCCCAAAGGTCTCTGTGGTTCTGGAGGAGCCACAGGAGGAATCTAGCATTCGTGTGTCCCGGCCTGTGTCCGCCCTCTCGGGGCCTGTCATTCCCGGGAGTGCGCAGCGCACACTGGCCGCAGGGCGAGGGGCGGGGAAGGCCCCTCCGCGGTGCCTGAGTGGGGAGGCCAGCAGGAGGCTTTGTATGGCTTGGGCGGAGCCAGGCGGGGAAATCGCCCCAGAGCCGTGGGCACAGGAACAGCGTGAGGGGGCGGGCTCTTTGGACAAAGTGACTGGAGGCAAGGCTAGACTTGGGGACAGGAGTGAGCCCCAGACCTCTGAATGTGAGTCTCCGTCTGTATAACGTGGGGCTGATGACAGGACCTGCTTCACAGGACTGTCAGTTACCAAGGGGACAGAGGGCATAGTGAGGGAGGTATATGCCGGTGTGTTCAAATCTGGCAGTAATTTGCTACTACACGTGTGATTACTCAAGGTGGAAAAATACATTCATTAGCATTGAAAGCGTGGTCTAGCTAACGGAGCACTCTGGGTCAAGTTCAGAGTCCAGGGTGGCTGGCGCCTGAAGCGCCATGAGGATTAGAGACAAGACCCGGCTTCAGCCGGGTGGGCGTGGCCTCCGGTAGCAAGGCCTGGGTGCCGGCACCCTGTCCGGGTGTTGCCCGTGGGCTGCTCATGCCGTGGGGCAGAGGTGGCCATGACCTGCATGTGCTCATGGCCAGGTTGGGCCTGGGGTCTTCTGGGACGTTACGCCAGATGCCGATGACAAGCTCTGTCCTTTCCCCCTCGCACCTCAGCTCTATGAGTCCACCCTGCACGCCTTTGCCTTCTCTTACTCCATGCTAGGAGAGGAGGTCCAACTGCACTTCATCATCCCCAAGTCCAAGGAGCACCACTTTGTCTTCAGCCAAACTGGAGGCCAGCTGGAGAGCATGCGGCTGCCCCTCGTCACAGACAAGGTACTGGTGCCGAGTCCGGAGGGTCGGACCAGAGTGGCTGCGAGTGACCGCTGAGCTGGCCACGGAGAGACTGTAGTTGCCTGATGAGTCAGGGGCTGGAGGAACCGGATGGAGAGACCGGTGTGGGCGGAGGCGGCTGGGGAGCATGAGGGCTTTGGGGTCACTCAGCTGAGGTTGAACTCTGCTCTGCTGTTTGCTAGCCCTGTTACTTGAACTTCACACTTAATGTCTCCGAGCCTCGGGTTCCTCACCTGTAAGCCTGTGGTGAGGTTTATTGGCATAACTGACACAGGACGCCAGCACAGCGCTGGGGAGATAAGTACGGAGTGGACCTTCGTCCGTCCACTCCCTTCTCCGGCACACTCTTTGCTGGGGGACATGCAAAAGGGTTCGTGGCTGAGCAGCGTGACTCCTACAGGGCCCGGCCCCGGCCCCGGCCCCAGCAGTTACAATTACTGACTCAGGGCCCGTCCTGTGGTATCATCTGTGCTGCTCCTCTGCCTCCCTGTATTATTGGGAAGCAAATCCCAGACGTCGTATCGTGTCCCCTAAATACTACAGTTTGTGTCTCTACAGGAGAGACTTCCTCTTTTGAGGAGATCATTCTCTTTTTTCATTTTGCTTATTTGTAAGTCTTCTTTATTGTATTTTTCCCCATTACCATGTAGTCCTTGTATACCCCGCTCCCTGTAGCAGTCACCACACAGGTGTCCGTGTCCGCGAGTCCTTTCTCCTTTTGCTCCATCCCTCTACCTGCTAACCCCCTCCACCCCCTTAGCTGTCATCCTGCTCTCCGTCTATGAGATCGTTCTTAACAATCTGTCACCTCTGGGACCACCACTGTTTCGGAGACGCCCCTCCTGGGGATATGGGGTTGGATGGTTCCAGCCCAACAGTCTCGGCCAGCTTGCAGCCCGTTACCCAGCCCAGTCACCGCGGACCTCAGAGGCGCTGCTTCTCCAGAGGGCCAGACGTCATAGGGTTGAACCTGGCCTTTCAGGCCCTGTTACCGCGCCCTGAAAACATTCGTAAAGTACCACAGAGACCTTTATGGTGTGGTGTCCCCTGCCCCACGGGCTGGGTGTTGCCGCGGTCAAGGATTTACTCCCATTCCCACTCCTACCCAGTTCAACCAGAACAGGCTGTAGGCACCAGCGGCACCATGGCTTTGCAGCAGTGCTCAGAAGGCGCCAGGCGGAGCTGCACCCAGCTCAGCCCGAGGAACTCGTGTTGAGGGAATGGTGGAGACCACGCAGTGTTTTCTGCTTTGTAGAACGAGCAGACCATTTTTTTTTTAAAGATTTTCTTTTTAGAGGGAAGGGAAGAGGAGCAGAGAGAGAGGGAGAGAAACATCCATGTGAGAGAGAAACATCAATGAGTTGCCTCTCGCACACGTCCCGACCAGGGACCAAACCCGCAACCCGGGCACGTGCCCTGACTGGGAATTGAACTGATGACCCTTTGCTTTGCAGGATGATGCCCAACCAACTGAGCCACTCTGGTCAGAGCCACAGAGTTCCTTACATAACAATGTGCATCCTGAGTGTATAAACAGGCTATATGAGTCTGTGGTTGGCGATTGAAGTCCCACAGAAATGACCTGTGCTCCAAGCACGAGGTTGGATGCTCATGTGAAAGGGTGGTGATTGATACACGCCCATTAGTCTGGGTTAACGAACCGTTCTCAAATAAGCATTTACTTGGCTTCTGGTCCGGGGGGCCAGAGGGCTGGGCTCGGTTCAGCTGGGTGGCCATCCTGGGCAGGTTGGGCTCCCTCGTGCCTGCAGTTACAAGGGACCAGGTGGGCCGGGGACGGCTGGGCTCGGATGGTCTCGGTGGGACACCCATTTCTGCCCCCCGTGGTCTCCCTTTTCCAGCAGGATCGCCCAGGCTGGCTCCTGGGGGGGCTCGGAGAGCGGGCCGCAGACTCAGGACTGCTGCACTGCCATTTTTACTGCATTTTCCCAGTAAAAAGCCAAGCCTCAGCTGGCCTCGGGGCGCCCGAAGACGGACACTCAGAGGGAGGGGAATAATCGTGACCATGTTCAGAAACTCTTTCCCTCCTTGCGCCTCCACTTTGCAGAGTCAGGAATACATAAAAAGTCCGACCTTCACCCCGACCACCGGCCGCCACGAGCACGGGCTCTTCAACCTGTACCACGCGATGGACGGGGCCAGCCACCTGCACGTGCTGGTCGTCAAGGAGTACGAGATGCCCGTGTACAAGAAGTACTGGCCCAACCACATCATGCTGGTGCTCCCCAGCGTCTTCAACAGCGCCGGCGTGGGTAGGCGCCTCTCGCCGCCCCGCCCCCTCAGGTTCCTGAGAAAGGAGGCTAGAGAGGGTGTTCCAGGGTTGGCAGAGTTGGACGTTTTCCATCAAGCCTTTTGACTTTTACAGCATTTTGTTTGAATATTCTTTCTTCTTCGACGTTTGCTTATTGATTTCGTTCGTGCTCTCGAGTCACATTAGAAAAGCAAGGTTAAGCAGACAGAAGTGTATGTGCACCTCAGAGGTGTGTTTGGTACCCTAGAATTCTCCCCACCCCCAGTTCGACAACTACTAGCCAGTGGACGAGTGATGTGGGTGGGCGACGACCGACCTTTGAGGCTGCTGGTCCTGGGGCGGGGCCTCTTTAGTAGGTGTGGTCCAGGAGCTGAGTGGGCGTGGCTTTGCCCGTTGCAGGCGCCGCCCACTTCCTGATCAAGGAGCTGTCCTACCACAACCTGGAGCTGGAGCGGACCCGGCAGGAGGAGCTTGGCATCAAGCCGCAGGACATCTGGCCCTTCATCGTGATATCTGACGACTCCTGCGTGATGTGGAACGTAGTGGATGTCGACGGGGGCGGGGAGAGGAGCAGGTGAGGCGCCTCCCCAATCCCAGGAGTAGGATGGGGGCATGGGCTCTCTTTCAGCAAGGATCACTTTGCCACCCCCACAGGACCACAGAGGAGGGCGCTCCCAGTTAGAAAGCCCCGCATGTAGGGGGACAGAGGCCTGGAGGCGGCAGACTTACACTCTACGCTTTACTTGGAGTTTTAAAAATTGTTTTAAAACTTATCTATTTTCTTGTTTATTTTAGAGAGAGAGGGAGGGAGGGGAAAGAGGGAGAGAATCAGTGGTTGCCTCTCACACACCCTGACCAGCGACTGAACCTGTAACCCAGGCCTGTGTCCTGACTGCAATTGATCGGCAACCTTTCAGTTTGTGGGATAATGCCCAACCCGCTGAGCCACACCAGCAAGGACTGGGGTTTAAACTTTTTAAAAATTTTATTGAATAATCCGTATATGAAACCACAGCATATCTATTTAAATTAAAATATATACAAGAGAAAAACATGTGCAGAAATTGTCACAAACTGAAGACGTCGGCTTAACCAACTCCCCTGTGAAGAAAGGGACCCTCACCACCCCCAGGGGTCCCTCCAGTTGTCCCCCAGTCCCTCCTCCCATCCCCAGCCTCATTCCTCTTGCCTGCTTGTATTTTATTTGCTGTGTGACATGGACTCTCTTTGGCTGGTTTCAAAGGGGGCACTAATAGCTGTGCTGGTTTGTCATAAGGATCAGTGAGTCAGTGGGTGGTGTGCCCAAGGAGAGCGGTGCCACGTGGTAAAGGCTCAGTAGGTGCAGTTGCGTCTGAACATCACTCATCATCGCAGTTCCTGTGATTTGGCAATTTTACTCCGAGTATTTCAGCGTAGGGCTGCCTGGTGACTTCTGTGTTTGGCTAGTTTCTGAGAGAGCCACCGTTAGGCCAGTTCTCCTCCTTGGTGTCAGTGATGACCTGGTGCAACACAACCTTCGGTCACTGTTCTAGAAAAGTGTGTTGTGTGACGGAGCGGCAGGTGACTTGGGAGGATAGTGACCTGCTTTGCTTTCTCCATTCTCACAGTCACCCTCCAGGGCAGGAGCTGGGCTGAGGGCCGAGAGGGGGAAGGGGGCAGAGCTTCTCTTGTGTCTTCGTAATTTGCATTCTTAATTAGCATTAAAAGTACTGGATGTCACATGGAGCAGGGGACTTAGAGAGTTTAGCTTAAGCCTGTCAGGTGGGGAAAGGAAAGCTGAGGTCCAGAAAAGCTGGGCAACTTGCCTGGGCCCTCATGGACCCGATTCTCGTCCCCAGCTTGCAGCCCTGGAGTCCCCCTCCCTGGTCATCCGTGTCCCTCACTGTCCTGCCAGGCCTCACACACCACCGTGTGGCGTCACAGGCATTGGCAGGCTGCCTCCTCCTCCCTATGCTCTTACTTGGAATTCGCAGTAGAAAGCCTGGCTCTTTCCCACCATCGCACCTTCAGACGCCTACACTGGAAAGGCGCAGTGGTTTGGGCTGACGGAGAGTGAGGGCTTCGGGGGCAGCCGTTCACACCCAGGCTCTGTGGGGGGCACAGTGCAAGTTACTTGCAGCCCATCTTCCCTCCTCCGTGAAACAGGCAGGGCGGCTGCCGTCTCGGGGTTGCTGCGAGGACGGGCGCTAATAAGCACGAGGTGCTCAGCCTGGCGCCTGGCCCTCGGCCAAGGTTGTAATGGACTGTACCTGTACCAGCCCTGCCCTGGAATGTGCGAGTCGGCCACTGGGCAGCATCCTGGCTGGCCAGTCCACAGGGCCCCACCTCGTTTGCACGTTGACCTAAAGACGTCCATCTCCCTCCTTCTGGCACAGAGAGTTCTCCTGGTCAGAGAGGAACGTCTCTTTGAAGTACATCATGCAGCACATTGAGGCGGCCCCCAACATCACCCACTACGCCCTGATCGGCATGCGGAAGTGGTCTAGCAAGACCGGGAGCCGAGAGGTGCACGAGCCCTTCTCCCGCTGCCACGTGCATGACTTCATCATTCTGAACGTGGACCTGACCCAGAACGTCCAGTACAACCAGAACCGGTGAGCCTCTCGCCCCATGGCAGCTGCTGGCACAGCCCATGGCCCCACAGCCCTCAGTGAGGGGCAGCTTAGGCCAGTGAAGGGTGGCTTCTTCCCTGCCCTGCAGGGCCATGGGAGCCAGAGGTGCCCACCTGTGGCACTGGTCTAGGTCCTGATTTCAGCTTTAACTCCCTCCCTTCCCTCCCTCCCCCCTTCCCTTTCCTTCCTTCTCTCCTTCCCTTCTGTATTTTTGCTGTATGATTTTGTGGAGGAGGGATTCACATAAGAGCATTCAGCTTCCTTCGTGGATTCACACCACACTTCAGTGACTTATGCTGTTTACGTGCTCTGCTTTTTTGGCTTCCACTGAGCACACCGGTTTTTAGAAGCATTAGCACTGAAGAAAATTGTGAAGAGATTTCTGTGTGTTGCTTTCTACACGTCGAGCCGCAGAAGCGCTCACATGTCAAGTGTGACCCCATCGCTGACACTCATCGAGTGTCCCTGGCAGTGGCACGCCCCTGGGGGAGGGGTCCGTGTAGGAGTGTCAGTTTTGGAGCCAGACAGACCTTCTGGGAATCCGGGTGCCCCCTGACTCCCGGGCTCTGCAGGGAGCCTTCTTTCCTCTGCTGTAAAAAGTGGCTACTTTTTTTTTTAACCCCAGGAGGTTCACTTTTTCTTCCTTAACAAATAGGCGAAAGGGTGTTTGTAAGGTCCTCACATGGAGCCGGTATGGTCAGCACATTATGGTCCTGTAGGTGACACCTTAGGAACACCCTGCCTTGCCCAGCGCCGGCACATTGCAGCTTGTCTGTCTTCCTCGTTGGTGTTGCCCCTGTGCCTTCCCAGGCGAAGGCCTGTAGGGGAGGAGCGAGCCCCCCGCTCGGTGTCTGGTGCAGGTCGGGGCTGGCGGGGACGTGAGCGGCATGCAGTCCCATCCGTGCCCTCCTCTGGCTCTGAGCAGGTTCCTGTGTGACGATGTGGACTTCAACCTGCGGGTGCACAGCGCCGGCCTGCTGCTCTGCCGGTTCAACCGCTTCAGCGTGATGAAGAAGCAGATTGTGGTGGGCGGGCACCGGTCCTTCCACATCACCTCCAAGGTGGGTCGGCCGAGTGCCCTGCTGGGTCTGCCACCCGGCTGGCCCTGTGGTGCAGAGACTGAGGGTGGGAGCTGGCGGGAGGCCACGTGGTCGCCTTTGAGTCAGTGGGGGGTGGGCTTGACCACTGAGTAGTGTCAGCAGAGGCTTTCAACTGTGTCTGCCCTGGGCCCTGCTGTGATCCCGAACATTCCCGGGAGCTTCCCGCACATGTCTGCCTCACTGCGTCTGGCGCTTGCTCCGGCAGTGTCTCCGCTGAACGGAGCTCTGGGCTGCCGGTGTGTGTGTGCATGGCCTCCTCTGGGCCCCTGCGGCAGCGCCGGGCCAAACACTGTCTGAGTGGCCCTGACAGGCTGGCTTGATTGCCATGCTGTCATCTGCGGGCCAGCCCCGGGTGGGGGGAGACAGGGTCCGGGCACGCCTGTGCGCTGGGCGGGCCTGGGGCGCTGCCGTGCGGAGTTGTGCACATTGCTGCCCAGAGGTCTCGCCCGTCCACGGGCGGAGCCCCATTCTCTGCTTCTCACCTCCGTCTGCCTCGAATCGTGCCCTGATGGCATCAGCCAGCTCTAACTCCAGCCGCCTCTTCCAGCCTCTGTCCTTCCCTGTCATTCCCTGTCCCCACAACTCTGTGGCCACCCTCCCTGACCTGGGCCTAGTCTGGGTTCAGACACCAGTTCCATCCTCTCCCTTTGCAGACTGACCGGGCAGAAGCCCCCCTCTTCTCTCACTGACTAGTAAGACACTTGAATAAAAGGTCTGTACTTCCAGGAGAACTTGGAATTGTTTAAAGCCCTCCCCACCCCGACTGTGGAGGTTTCTTACTGCGGTTGTGGTAGATTTGCAGTTTAATTAGGGGAGATCACAGATCTCTACTGTAGGAAGTCTTTCTACCAAAAAGCCTGATGTGCTTTGAAAACTAATTTTCCTTTTAGTTCCCTCAGTGTCAGTTTTTAACTCTTAGGTGTTTTATCTTTATTCCTACTTTGAGCATAATCTTATTTTTTCCTTTCGATTTAATCATGCAGTTGAATATGTAGAGGACAGCTAGTGATGTTTTATTCACTCAGGAGTGCTTGGCCTGGCAGCTGGGCCAGGTGTCAAGTACACCTGTGGTGCAGTGCTGTCGTGATAAGCACCCCAAGTGCTTATGCGAGTGAGTCGCAGGGAGACCTAGTCTCGCTGGCGGTGGGGGTGGGGGGGGGGGGCGTGGCTCTCCCTGAGGAAGTGACGTTAAGGCGGAGGTCTGGAGGATGAGGAAGAGTACTGTGTCCAGGCACGGGGGACGCCCAGGGAGACAACTCGAGGGCTAGGAGCAAGGAGGTCGGCGTGGAGGAGGTGTCGGGGTCACCGGGGAGAGTGACGGGGACGAGGATGAGCTGGGGAAGTCTGCAGGACCTTGTCAGCCGTGGGAACATGCGAGGCCTCTCTCTAGGAGTGAAGGAGACAAATCGTGGAAGGGTTTCCTGCGAGGATTTGGTTGGTTCTCCTCATGTCCGCAGTCTCTCGGGCAAGGAAATGTGTTGGTGATGATGGAGGAAGAAGCCGTGGGCTGGATGGGGGGCAGTGGGGGGAGGGCCAGGGGTGGGGGCAGATGCCGCCATGCCCTGAGAGTTCACCCCGGGGTTTGGGAAAGCCAATGTTCTACCTGGGAAGGTCACGTCTGCAACTGTTACTGATCGCACTGATCGGGTCTCATGTGTCCCCCTTCGGTCAAGCCCAGTCGTTCTTAACGGGGAACCTCACTGTGGAAGCAGCTGTCCTGGGCGTCTGTGCTCGGGGTGGCTGGGAGAGGCTGAAGCCCGTCCTTCCCCCGCAGGCCCCAGACTGCCCCGCGGCCGTGGCGCCTGCGCAGTACGTCTGCGCCCCGGACAGCAAGCACGCGCTCCTGGCGGCGCCCGCGCAGCTGCTGCTGGAGAAGTTCCTGCAGCAGCACAGCCGCCGCTTCTTCCCGCTGTCCCTGCAGAACCGCGGCCACCCTGTGCTCTCCGTTGACTGCTATTTGAACCTGGGGCCTCAGGTAAGTTCCAGACGGGCTGTGGGGCCCTAAACCTGAGAAGTGCCACCACACGGCTTCCACTCAGGTACTGACCGCCCGTGACTGCTGGTCAAATAAAGGCTGAGATTGTGCAAGCGGTTTGCTCTGACGTCAGACGTCAGGAATCCAACCCAGTTCCCATGCCAAAGCGATTCTGATCCATGAAAGAGTTAGCGAATGCAGAAATCTGGGTCCATCTCTTGGAATTGATTTTTGGGGTATAGATTTGGACGTAACAGAAAAATATCATTTCTGCTGCCCCCAAGCCCCTGACTGGATCAAGCAGTTAGTGTTTCAGCTGCCGAGCCCTAGCATGGGGTTGCGGAATATTTCACAGAAAGCGGTGTTTTGTTTTGTTTTTTTCCTCTCGTCTCTCCTGTTTCCAGATTTCTGTGTGCTACGTGAGCTCCAGGCCCCACTCCTTGAACATCAGCTGCTCCGACTTCAGGTTCAGCGGACTCCTGCTCTACCTCTGCGACTCCTTCGTGGGCGCAAGCTTCTTGAAAAAGTTTCATTTTCTGAAAGGTGACTTCCCACACCCTTGCCCCGGACCTTGACTTGAATGCTTGTCATCACCTGGTATCTCTGAGGAGGTTATGCCTGATCTAGTCCTCGTTTGCCAGTGGGTAAACTGAGGTTCAGAGAGTGAACGTTACCACCAGGAAAGTACAGGAGGTTGGGGATGAGATTCCAGGGCGGCTCTTTTTCCCCCAAACCTGTCGGGCGGAGATGAGACACCCCTTTCTGTTACGCAGCTTTGTGTTCGTTTCCAGCGTAACATCAGCACTCAGTTCCCCATGGGCACTTCTTCCTCCTGGTGGATGAGTTCTTCCCCCTGGTCTTGGGGTTCTCCACGCTTCTGGGCTTCACTCTCTCTCCTTCTGTAGTTGCTTTCTTGCTGAAATGTTTCAGAGTGACAAACATTCATTCTCCATGACTTAAAGAGAATATTTCCAGTCCAGCTGGGGTCCCTGGCCAATGTGCACATTTCCTTGGGTGGCCTTCCCTCTGACCTTCTGGTCTGGCAGGTGTTTCCTGGGCACCACACTGCCCTGGGCCTTGGGCGGTCGAGAGAGGCGTCTACTACAGCCTCTGCCCTGGGGAGACATTTTGTCCAATGGGAGGGGAGGACACGTAGGTAGGAAGGTAGGTAGGTAGTAGAGAGACTGACTGACAGAATGAATGAGTGCGTGAGTGAATGAATGAATGGGTGGATGGGAATGACGTCTTGTTTATGCTAGCATTCAAGAGCAGGGAGCATTGCCCTGGTCGGGCGGTTGGGGAAGGATGGGAGCTGCATCGGCCTGGAAGGGCAGCGGCCTTGGGTGGGAGAAGGTGCGTTGGGCCTTGAGGTGGCTGGGCGGCTGGTTCACACCCAGGGCTGCAGCCAAGGAAGCTTGGTCTGTGACCTGACCAGGGTCTGTTTCCAGTTCCTTTCTCTGTCCCCTCCTTTGTCAGCGTTTCGCCTCCCTGGTATCTCAGCTGCCAGGCCTGCCAATCACCTCTCAGTGTCTGTCCTGCTCAGATGATGAAGCATTCCAAGGGGACAGAAGAGGTCACCGGACCTCTGGTCCTCCCCTTCCCAGCAGCATCATAGAGCTTCTTTGCAAGCAGAACCCAGGCAGTGGCTTCAGTGGGTAAACTCACCTGTTTTCTTCACACGCCTCCGCCGTTGTCCGTGCAGGTGCGACCTTGTGCGTGATCTGTCAGGACCGGAACTCACTCCGCCAGACGGTGGTGCGCCTGGAGCTGGAGGACCAGTGGCAGTTCCGGCTGCGTGATGAATTCCAGACGGCCAACGCCAAGGAAGACCGGCCGCTCTTTTTTCTGACGGGGCGGCACATCTGAGGCACGGGCACACCTTGGCAGATTTTCAGGAAGAGTGGAGCCTTAGGAACCTCGTGCTGTTGGGCTTCAAGGAAGCATTAGAAGCGTGGGGTGCTGGGACTGCGACGGGGCCCAGAACTGGCCCCAGAACTGGCCCTGTGCAAGCCGGCAGCCCGAGGCCCAGGGATGATGGAGACTCACGGCGAGTGAGGAGGGTCCGTGGTTGGCGAGCAGGAAGTCAGACCCAGCCTCCCGGGGTTCTGGGCCAGCCCCGCTGCCCTGGGCTGGGTCAGAGTGCACGTTACCAAGGACACGGTTTTGCCTACTGTCATGTCATCCATATGCTTCCACAGACAAAGTTGACTTCTCTTAGTTCTAAATCTCGAGGATTATTTTCTAGAGGTGCCAGTGTTTTCAGCTGATGGGTGTGGTTCGAGCTCCGTAGGTTTTCCTCTCTACTACGAAGCAATATTCCTGGAGAACATTTCAACTGTAAAGGCTGGAGACAAGAAAAAAAAAAGCTTAAGTGGGTCACTGTGTAAGAATTATGGAACTGCCTAGAAGTTTGCTGTTTAAAGAGCTAGCCCAAAGGTGTCAGCTTTAATGAAGTAAAACAAATTGTTTTACTTCAGAGCAAACACGATTCTATTAAAATAGTATAGGGTAAATACCCTATCTCTTAGAAAGGGCAAACATGAAAAGAAACTATATACAACTCAAAGATTTCAGGAAGGACATTTCATTACAGAAGTTGACCTTAAGAAACAGAATTCTCCTGACAGAGGAGAAAGGACCAATGGCTTACCTGAAACAAACCATGAAAACAAAGCGATACAGAAACAACTTGGTAAGAACTAGACTTCTGACCATAACTTACTGACGCTCAGTTTTCAGTTCCTTAAAGAGCTTGCCTTTTCTTACAACTGCTTGGTCCCTGACCAGAGAGGAAGGGGGACAGAGCAGAGGTGGCAGCAGGGATGTTCCAGGCTACAAACACTTTTGCTTGCCCCCCAGAAGGTTTTGTAAACCAGCCTTGTAGAGCGCCACCTACAGGCAGGCATCGGCAGCGTGCGTGTACAAGCAGGATCCTGATGAACCCTCCGTGTAGTGGGTGTGGGTCGACTCCCCATTGGAAAGATGCAGAGTGTCACCGAGGTGACAGCCGGAAAGGGACAGAAAGAAGTCAAACGGCTGGATTGTGGGCTCCTGGGTCCATTGTCCCTCCCAGCACTGCTTGCGAAGTGGCCTGTATTGGAAGGAAAAGTGTAGCAGTCCTCAAAAATGGGTCTCAGAGTACATTTTTATGTCTCTGTCTTAGTCATTTATAAGCACTCTCATGGATGATAGTTCAAGAAGAAACTATTTTAAAAGATGATGCCAAAGAATTAACGTCAATCTTTTGTCCCCTAAGGAAGAAGATTTAGGGCAATGTTTATAAAGTCATCACTTTGTACATGTCATTATTCCTGTTTTGGGATAAAAACTCACCTTCTTTAGTTATATTTGTCTTTTGTAAATAGGCAGCTTTGTGCTACTCTCTATTTTATTAGTTAACTTAAACTTTAAAAAATTCTTGTTTGTTCCAGCATTATAAATAAAACTTATGATGCATTTACTGTTTCTTTGGTGGGTATTAAATTACATCATTTTGAGAAGAAGTTGTGTGGCCAGTGATTTCCAGGGCTACCTGCTTAAAAAGTCTGATGACGGAAAAGACAGTTTTGGAAAGGAAATAATAAATCCATACAAGTAGGGGCCTATTAACATGTGGAAGAACCGCTGAGAAAGAAAGAATTGGAAATGGAGGAAACCGCAGCTGAGCATGCGTGAGGGAGCCTGCTACACAAGAAGGCAGTTTTCGGGGTGCTCTGAGCTTCACCACGGCTGGGAAAGCTGAAAGGGGGGACCCAGGCTTTCGTTACTCTGATTAACAGGAAGGAGTTGGCGCAGCAAGGCCCTATGGTTCCTCCCAGCCCTTCCTGCCTCGCTCCTCCTGGTCCGCAGACCTGGGCAGCGAGGGGCGGAGTTCGGGGGTGGTCGCTCCGTCTGGACTAGAGAATGTGCGTTCCAGTGGGCGAGAGGCAGCTGTTTGCCATTACAGGCCTTGTAGTTAATGTTTCTTGAGTTTTGAAGAACAAGTTTATTTACCTTGTTTTTTAAAATGTTTCATTTTTAAAATGCAAAATATATGTGCCTTGGGTTTTTCCTCCTGAGTTCCTTTCCTTTGGCAAACTTTTTTTTTTTTTTAAGAATGAACATTGTAGTAACACTTTAAAATCGGTACAGAATATCTGAGTTAGGAGCTGCACCCTTTCCAGGAGTTATCAACCATGTTTTTTTTCGTCTGAATGTGCATTCACAAATCAACACCAAGAGAAAAATAAACCACCACTCACGATGGTCATTGTAGTTCGCTGGGGAGCCAAGCAGGTATTGGAGGTATTGGCAACGGTTCACTTCCTACCAAATTGCAACTTTGGTACCAGTCGAGACTGAGACAAGTCGAAGGCAAAACTATGTTTCAAGTTGGTAATTACTCTTTGGAGTTTTAAAACATTCCTGGAAAAGCTCTATAGCTTTTGTACTTTCAAAAAGCATAAGCAATTTTGTTGGTTAAAAACACTGGTTAATTGGTGACCGACGTCGAAAGTGCGTCCCTGGCACATTTCGGTTTTCGTTGCTTTGGTCCGCACCACACAAACTCTGCCAGTGTGTTTTTAACAATTGGCTTGTTTGACACTGTCCTCCCAAACCCTAGCTCCGAAATAGGCACACCCAGATGCCCCCAGGCTGTGAGACTCGGTGGAAATTCTCTCCCAGGCATTTTGAGCGTGCAGTTGCACGCACATCGGCAAGGCCGAGTTAGGGTGCGGCAGTGCACTGACCTATCCAGATGAGTCTGCTGCCACTCAGAGCCCTTGTGGAGACTGCTGGGAGGTGGGCGAGCGTCCTGTGCTGCTCTGTGGCCCCGATGTGCTTGGGCCAACCTGGCAGCAGGCAGTGCTCAGACTGGGCCGCTGAGGTCCCAGGTCGGGATTCCTCCGCCTGATGTGATGGTAGGAGCCGCAGCTTTCGCCATCCTGACTGCGGCCGGTGTCCCCGCTGGACCAGATCCACACCTGTGGTTACTGTTCTGCCGCTCGTGGGTTTGGAGCTTTTGTTTTTGTTTTTGGTCATATTGTCAGGTCCAGATTTGGGTTAGGAATCTGACAACTGGCAAACATGTCTGATATAGGAAGTCAATTTAAAAAAAATCAAGGTTTCTTCCTGCCTGGTTTTCAGTAATTCTCTTTACAGGGACCATGGTTCGCCGTTCGGAAGCAAATGGAATGCTTTCTTACTGGGTTTAATTTTGTGTTTTCCCGTGTCCTTGTTAAGGCTGCAGTTGGTATATCTATTTCTCCTGAAATCTCCCTTAATGCTGAGCGTGCAGGCCTCTCTCTTATAGCTGCGCCAAGTCCCATCACCCTGGCTGTCTGTCCTCGGTCCTGGCGCTAAAGGTGACTAGTTTTGCTGATGATGAAAGAGCAGAAGCCCGGGGCGGGTTAGGAGCTCTGTCTGTCCAGGTTCCCCAGGCAGTTCTTACACCCAGCGACCTGCGGTCACCACTCGTCATGACATCGACTTTCAGAGTTCATTTTACATCCCAGACTTCCCTTCATGTTTCACTGTGGCTATGAGACCCAGTTTTCTGGGTGGTCCTGAGTGTTTGAGGTGAAAGCAGGTGGTCTGCTGCCCCCTTCCCCTTATCTGGGTGAAAATCTGGAGCAATGACGGGTCACCAGCTTGGGGTGCATGCTCAAGGCGGGGTCTGGATTCCCATCCATAGCTTTCAGCTCCGCCTTCGTCCCCATGATATGACACCTATTGGCTGGGCCAGGTGCCCAGACCAGCGACAGCAGAGTGTGGGTCTGGGCGGGGCGTCAGCAGGTGGCTGGCACGCAGGGCTGGGCATAGGGTCGGGCAGAGCTCAGTGCAGCTTGGGCACGGAGTAGTAGACGTGGCATTCCAGGTGTCTGAAGACCCAGAGGGAGTGGGACCACATGCAGTTGTAGAGGTCCACGGGTGGGCCCACTGGTGGCAGCAGCGGCAGTAGCAGAGTGGAGAGAGCTGGGTTGAGCGTGCGGTAGCGCAGGCGCCCTGGGGCCTGGCTCGCGTTTTCAGCACCACAGGCGTGGACAGCGCATTGCTCCAGGCGCTAAGGTCGGTGGATACAGCGTGGGGAAGGCCTCCTTGCTTCCGAGTTGGGCTAGGGCTGGGCTGGAGGGGTCTGTGAGCTGCTGGTCTCCAACCCCCTTCCACAGCCTCTCTCCGTCTCAGTGCCGGGAGACTGGGCGAGTCCCCGGTTAGCAAGTGCCGCCTCCTCTCCGAGAACTTCCAGAATGAGAGCCCCCCATCCCCACCCAAGCGTGCATCTGAGCGAATGCACGGCCACGAGTGCAAGCCCTTGGCCACATTCACATTTCTCAGTTCAGTTCCACTTAGAGAAGCAGGTGCTGGCTGGAAGGTGGCTTCCTTTGGGACCTGAAAGAAGAGGTGGGCTGAACGCCACCACTTACCGGCCTCGTGACCTTGGGCAAGGTTTTCCAACCTCTCTCAACCCATTTCTGCCTGAAAAATGTATTACCTACATTGTGGACTCTCTGCGAGGGATAAATGAGGGAATCTGTGTGGAAGCCCGGGACTGGCAGCACAGCATGTGCCCTGGGCTGTCCCACTGTGCGCTGTCTGGCTGTCCCACTGTGCGCCATCCCAGACACAACTGACCATGGACCTGCCAGCACGTCAACACTTTGCAGCTGTTGTTCTTCTCGGTGAGGGCTGTCTCAATGCCACATGAGGTCCTTTGTCACTGCTGCATCCTCATGGCTTCACACTCTCCCAGTCCTTGGAGGGTGTCATTCTCATGGAGCCATGGGAGATGTCCCCTCTGCTTTCTACTGGGACCTTGGCTGACCTATGCATGTGATAAAGGACAGTCACCTGCAATAAACCCACAACTCTGGAAACTCAATAGGAGAAAAACCAACAATCCGATTTAAAAAAAGGGCCGAAGACCTTCATAGACACTTCACCAAAGAAGATACACAAATGGCAAATAATCATATTAAAAGATGCTCCTTATTATATGTCACCAGGGAAATGCAAAGTAAAGCAGCAATGAGATATCGATACACACCTGTTAGAATGACCAGAACCTGAAATGCTGACACCACCAAACGCCGCTGCTGCGGAGCATCGGGGATGCTCGCTCAGCTGCTGCTGGGAGTGCAATGTGGTGCAGCCGCTTTGAAACAGGGTTTGCGGTTTCTGAACCTGCACACAGACGTGTGTAGCAGATTTACTCACAGTCGCCACAACCCGGAAGCAGCCGAGATGCCCGTGAGCAGGGGCCTGGGTAAACCAGCCTCAGTCCCTGCAGACGGGAGCACCGGTCAGGGCTGCACAGAGGACGACGATCAGACCTGAGAAGACCTGGGAGGCTGCGTGGATGACGGTGAGCACAGCGCGCCTGGAGGGCAGTGGCATTGCTCTGCATGACACTCCAGTGACGGACATTTGTCATCGACAGTGGTCAAAACCACAGAACCTGCACCAGGCATGAATCTGACGGCAAACAATGGGCCTCGGCGATCACAGTGTGCGGTGCAGGTTTGTCTGCTGTAACAAATGGACCACTTGGCAGGGCACGCTGACAGTGGGGGTGGTTGTGTAAGTGTGGGAACGGTGGGGGCTCTGAGCCCCACCTCCTCCCAGCCAGGCGAGCCTCCCCGAGCTCCTTTCCTCTTCCAGAAATGATAATGCCTCACCTTGAGAATTAGGATAGGTGTAAGGCAAACTCTTGGCACATGGAGCAAACTCAGAAATGTCAGTCCCCGCCCTGAAAGGTCAAAGCATGGAAAGGTCATTGTGGGGTGGAGAGACCAAAAGGCTTCCAGGAAGATGGAAGTTTGACCCGGGCCTAGGAAATGGGCCATTAGAAAAGAAAGAGGAGGGGAGGCATTCTGGGAAGAGATCACAGCACGAACCGAGGTGTAGAAAGAACAGAACCCAAGTGCCCTTGGGTGTTCGCCAGTGACCCCCAGACCGCGCTGGCAGGCTCGTGGGAGGGACACCCGTGGGTTCTTTGCAGCGGCGACACACAACAGCATCATTTCACGAGTGGCTCTGCCACAGGAAGAGGTGGGGAGTCTGCAGCGGAAGGAGATACAAAGTAAATCAGAGGCCCGGTTTCTTTGTCTGTGAAATGGGGCTGTTAGAGCTTGCCATGCAGTAACTGCGAGGTCCCATAGCTGCAACCGCTTTGTGAAGGTCAGGTGCACACCAGGCTTTGCGTCAAGGGCTGTCAGTGCATGGCCTCCAGTATCCCCACAGCAACCCTCTGAGAGAGCACCTCTATTTTTATCCCTGTGCCAGATAAGGAGATGAGGTCTCTTCGAGGCCGAGGGACCTGCCTCAGGTCAGAACAGCTTCTAAAGGTCAGAGTCAGCCGAGAGCCCAGATCTGTGTGACTCAGCCTGAGATTTCAGCGTCCTGCAGAGCTTCTCAGAGCCCTGTCATCAGCCACCTCCCATGGCGAGGTGTACCAGCCAAACCAGTGCTGGCTCCCAGTGGCCCTGCACAGCAGCGGGATGCCTGCCAGCCAGGCCACCCCATCTCCAGCACCCACTGCTGTCAGGCCTAGGAAACCGCCCCCCTGGGCCAGGAGCACCGGGCACTGTACCCCCTGTCCTCCTGATGGGGGGGGGCATACTCCTGCAACTTCTGAATGGCAGCAGCAACAGGGGGCTGCCTCGGTCAGCCCCACCACCCTGTGCATGCTGGACAGGGCCAGGTGTAACCAACCACTCACCGTCTTATCACTGGTTGGTCAGGAGATTCTTAAAATATGTCGACAGAATGAAGTAAAAATAGCGAGTGGTGGAGGGGACCCAGCTCAGCAGAAGTGTCTGAAATTGTTCTTTCCTCCTGCCGCCTCAGGACTTTTGGGGCGTTCAGACTGTGGGGACCATGCCAGGGGTGAGGTGGGGCACCCAGTCATGAGACTGAGCACAGTGGTCCCTTCCCAGTGTGCTCTGTGCTTTTCCAGGGTAGAGAAGGCAGGGACGCCTGTGTGGCCAGGACCCTGGCGTAGTGACCTGGGAATGGAGGCCTGGGACCAAGACCCTCCCTGCCCCTTCCCAGATGCAGCGCTGCGGGAGCCTCTGACCTCTGAAGTATAACGGGAGGGCAGTTAGACACAGGCGCCTTCCTGTGTTTGAGTTCTTCTCTCTCACTCAGCCCCGTTGGGGATTTTGGGGAGGGCAGGCCTCTGGAGGAAGGAGGAACCGGCTGCAGTGAAACCAGAGAAGGCCTGGCTGGGGAGGGATTTGGAGAAGAGGGTAGGGTTGGAACAAGTTGAAGGTTTCAGGGACTGGAGTAGGGGTGGGTCTCAGTGGAGAGAGCTGTCGGGGAGCTGACCTAGCACTGGCTGGGCTGGCTGCACACCGGCCTCCTGCTGTCCTCTCTCTGACCCTTCTTCCTCTCCCGACCTGGCTTCCCTAGCCACGTGCTCAGATGCCAGTATTCTAAAGCACCTTCACCCTTCCTCTCTCTGGGTGAGATGGCAAGGCATCCCCTACTCTGTCCCTGTCACGCTAGATTGAAGCCCCTGCCACCCACTCTGGCATCGTGCCCTCTGCCCGCAGCCTCTCCAGACACTGTCCTGGTTATTTGCGTCCCTCCCACCCGGCAGCAGGTCCCTCCATCAGGCTCATCACCACACGTCCCAGGTTCCTGGCAGGGTGGGAGCTGGCTGGCTGGCTCTGCTTCTCAAGGTGGCCTGGCCCTGAGATGCCACTTCCTGCTTTGGGACCTGGGGCCCCTCATTTTTCAAGCTCCTATTTTCAACCCGTGACCTTATTTATAGGGTTGCTCTGCAAGTTAGATGCCAGCATGCAGCTTAACTGCTTAGCTCCTGGTGTGTGGGAGGCATTCAACACCGGGGAACTGTCGTGATGGCTGGTGCTGCTGAGTGTGACGGAGGTGACAACGGTGACCCAGTGACCCCAGCTTTTCTCACCTCCCGAGGGCTGTGGAGGCCACACAGAAGAACGGAGAGAAAGGATCCCCCAAAGCATTGGCAGACCATGCACACTACCCACGGCGGGGCTTCCCGCCCCAGCACACTAGGCGGTCTCTGCCCACACCTCCTCCTGTGAAGTCCCCTTTGGTCTGAATCCCAACTCTGCCCTTTGGAGCTGCGTGTCCTTGGGGAAGTTGGTTAGCCTCTGAGTTTCACAGAGCTGGGGAGGAGAGAATGAAGAAAGCGCTGGCTGCTGGCCAGCAGGGGTCATGCCCCAGCCTGGCTCCTCCCACCAAGTCCTTCGCATCTGACACCTGTGGGACCCTGCGGCCTTTAGGACAAGAGGCGAGAGGCGTCTCCAGTCGTCAGCCAGTCCCCAGGTGGGAGAAGATTTGCAATTCAACACTCTGCTCTCTATCTGAGCCTTGTGACTTGGCTGAGCTCCTGGGGAAGCCACCTGCCGGGTTCAGTGTCCTGGGCCCAGCCTCCCTGCTCCCGAGGGCATGAAGGGAGCCGCTGGCGACATTCTTCTCCCAGGGCTTGGTGGTGGCGGTGAGGAGGTAGCTAGCATCCTGAGGGCGGGGCCATGGAGGAGCAGGCCCACACCTGTGGCTCCACCTGGGAGCCCTCGAAGGACAAGAACCACCCGGATTCACCCTGGTCATGGGTAAGGGCCGTGTGTGACCGTCCCTGGCTGAGTGGCACGGTGGGGGACCCGTGGGATCCTTTGGGCTGAGTGGGTGCCAGTTGGGATGCGTGTATCCACATTTCACCAAATAAGTGGTGGGACCGGCTGCTCCCCGGGGGCTCCTGTTTATAGAGGTTTTAGAACTTATTCAAGAATTAAGGACTTTGCTTTGCTTTGAATGGAAAATAAATAGTGATTGCTTTGATCCTCGAGATGGGCATACAGGGTGTTTTGAGGGCTCCCTGCTCCAGGCCCTTTGCTGGGGCCTTGCACTGTCTGTGTCCCCATGCAGTCATTGGACCCCACGTCTCAGAGTGTGGTGTCTGTGCTGTGGGCTCCCCTGGGTTCCACAGCCAGTGGCTATACCATCCTGCCTGTTCAGGTCTCGTCCCAGCTGCCAGGGCTTTTTGCTGGGGTGGGGAGGGGAGGTTGCGCATAAGTAGTTATTTTCCCTGAAAGCCCCCAACTTGAGTAGAGGGTGTTCGGCTCACATCCAGTGGGAGTGGTCCTGAGAACTCGGGCCACTGGCTGTCCCTTCCATGGGGCAGGGGTTTGACAGATAGTGGCCGGGTGAGCCGTGACCCTCCGCCTCCGGCCCTCGTAGGCAGACGGCTGGGCTGGCACTCCCGGGTTCAGAGGGGCTCCGTGGGCCTGGCAGCAGAGACAGCGGGGGCCTTCTGCCTCTCGGAGCAGAGTGAGGGGCGTGGCCCGCGTGGGGCAGACTGAGCCTCCTGGCTGGTGGTCACTTGTCACTCCAGCCAGGCTCACGCTCAGGGCAGCTTGCTCATGCCGAGATGCAGTGGGGACACCCACGGGAGAAAGGGGACTCAGATGCTGCTCCCTCCTCCGGGCCCTTTGGGCGAGTGAGGCTGAGTGGACGGAGGCCTGCAGAAGTCCCCCAGGGCTGATCCACGGCCCTGCCGCTGTGGGCTGAGGACAGGGCTGGGACCCCCTGCCCCGCCACCCCGGGGAGTGCTGTGGGGCCAGCCAGCCCCCCCATCTGATTAAAGAGCCTGGCTGTGTGGTGAGTGGGGCTCACGGGGCTGAGCCTTGCTTCCATTCCTGGAAATGCCCCGACACACAGCAGCCCAGTGCTGGTCGGGAAGTGTACCTGCCTCCCCACCAGGGGCAGCGTGGGGCTCCCGCAGAGCCCCCCACATCCACTCCAGTGACCGATGCTCCCCCAGCCCCGACACCCAGGTCTCAGTGCGGGTAGTGTCTCTCTCCTACGACCGGGCTGACGCCATCATTACCTTTGACAGCTGAGGAAACTGAGGCTATGAAGGCAGGACTTGCCCCCAGCAGCGCAGGGGCTGATGGGAGGGGGACAGGAAGCCACCCAGCCCTGGCCCTGGCCACCTCTAGACGCTGTGACCAGGGGAAGCCCTGGCAACACCCGTGTTCCGCTCATAGTTTTTGATTATTCCTTATTTTTCCTGGTTACGAAACTGTGCTGATCGCAGAGGATCTAGAATGTGCGGCAGAGTGTGGGTCAGAGGGTACGATTCCCGTCACCCCGCCGTGTATGCGTCTGGGTGCATGGCATACGGACTCTGCTCATTGCCCTGGAGCCTTGTTCTAATGCAGCCACAGGAGGGGCTTCAGGCCCAGCTCTTCGCCCCCTTTTATTCCATAAACTGGTCCAGCCCCTCACGGCGCCCCGTGGGCTTGACTCTACAGCCCCAGGTTAAAACCTTCAGTGGCCCCTGTGCTGTCCCATGGGGGCTGTTGTGTGGCACTGTGACTTTCCTTCCTGGGGGAGGTGGGCCGTGTGGTGGGGGCGGGGGTCCCTGGGAGGCGGGTTCTGGACTCTGGAGCAGCAGTGCTGGCCCCTGCAGGGCGTCCACCAGGCACAGAGTCCAAGGGGGCCCAGGACTTGGGCTTGGCTCCGACGTGCGCCGGTGCCTGGGAGAATCTGGTCTGCCCTGCTGAGGGGCAGCTGTGCGGTGGGGACGCTGGGAGCCCACAGGCTGCTCGGTGGGAGAGCTGGCCCCCCACCTAGCACTTGAGGCGGAGGAGGGCCTGGCCCAGGGGGGTCTTCAGCAGAGCAGAACGGGAAATCGAGGCAGGAAATCGAGGCAGACGCCCAGAGGGACTGACGGTACTGCGGGAGAGCCTAGGAGGGGGGTGCAGCTACCGTGTCTGGGAGCTCGGGCTGCACTGGCTGCTTCTGGGAAAAGGAAAAGTGGCTCAGCCATCGTGGGTGCTTCCGTCCTGGGGTGGGGAGAGGGCCGCTGGCAGCCCGGGCACCCTCAGAGACATGTGTTACGTTGGCACCATTCACCTGTGACTTCGGCCACGGCCTTTCCGAGAGTCTGTGGGGCTTGCCTTCCGGGCCCTAAGTGTGTGCAGAGCCATGTGGGGTGTGCAGAGAGGGGGATACCTGGCCCCCATTTCTGGGAGGTCAAAGCGGAATGTGAGCGGGTAGGCCTGTCCCCAGCCAGCTGTCAAGTTCATGGGGTCACCGATCAGGAGGAATTCCAACTGGCGGGGCCGGGGAAGGGGTCTCTGAGACACTGGCATTGGAGTCCCGCCTTGGAGAAGAGCAGGCTTTCCATACCCAGCGCCCACGGCGGCTGGAGCCTCCCGGGCTGAGGGCTGGGCCAGCCTGGGCGAAGACTGGCTGTGGGAGGAGGACGGGCTGTTCCCCTCCAGCGAGGTCTGCAGATCTTGTTCCCGGGATTTTATTTCTCCTTTGCTGGGACGTGCATGGCGACATCTGTCTTGGTCAGGCATCTAGGAGTGGCAGGAGGCAGATACTCAGGGCCAAAGACACAGGACCCAGAGTGAAGGAGGGGGGGTGTTGGGGGGGCAGAAGTTCAGGCCTGGGCTCAAGTCCCAGTTTTGCCTCTTACACGGTTCGATTTCCTGGAGACTCAGCTTTCTCACCTGCGACACTGGGATTACAACACCTGATAATAGAATGCTCGTGGGCATTTCGTAAATGGTAGCTGGTATTAACGACAGCACTAAGCCTGAAAGACGAGACCACCTGTAAATATGATGGGGAAGAAAAAGCAGGTCATCCCCGTGTGGACCACGGGGCTCAGCACCGTGAGGAGGAGACGCCCAAGCCCAGACCCATTCTCTGTGCACACAGGGCAGGACTCTTGGGGTCGTTTTCATCTGACCCTGAACCTCCGCTGTGTCTGGGCTGAGGGCCGTCAAACTGCAGTGAGGCGGCCTGGGGGGCAGCCTTTTGTGGCAGGTGGTCCCGGAGCTGGACCTGAGTGATGACAGGAGGGGCTGGGAAGGAGGGGGAATAAAAGAAGAGGCCTCTGAAGTGACGTCACAGGCGCCCACTTCCTCCCACAGACTCTCAGGTCAGGGGCTTTGCTGCCGAGAGGCGGGGGCAGGGCTGGGCTGCAGGTGTGCCCGCACCTGCTCTGCCAGCTCCCCTTCCCACCTCCTCCACGTCTCTCTCGGCCTTCAGTTCGTCCGTACAGTTGGGGCCGATAAACCTGATTTGCCAGCTTATGGTGAGGGTGAGTCGGCTGAATCTGTAAGAGTCATTATTTTTTGCTTAGCAGCTGCATGGACAACATAATGGAAGGACCTGTGGGTATGAATGCACTGAGATTCGATGCGAACTATGAACACAGGCTGGCGACCTGCTGGCCCTGGCTGTTCCGAGCCGGAGCCCTGGATCCGAGCGGCCTCTGGAGCCGGAGCCCTGCCAGAATGAGTCTGATGTGCGCCGCACGGCGGCTGGAGCAGGGCCCGCTAGGAGGTGTGACCATCTCGCCTCCCCGCCCACCCCCCAGGAGAACCTCAGTGACGATGATGCACTGAGGGACCCTGTGCACTGCCTGTGGCCCCGGGCGTGGCCTGACCATGATTCTCAGCACCTGCCCTCCCTGACACAGGACCCTTGCTACCAGTGACAATACCCGGACCCCTCCCTATAGATCTGGGGCAACTTGGGAGGGCGCGAAGACGGCGAGCTTGCTGTCCTCCTTCCTCAAACCTCCTTTGCTTTTCCCACGCCAACCCCCTCCTTGCCGGCCCCCACTTCCTCTCCACAGGCAGCGTAGTTGGAAGCCCCTGCAGGGCCGTTCAGCTCTGGTCTCACAGGCTGGAATTCTTTTCAGAGCAGCACAGAGAGACAGTCTCCGGGCCCCTGCTTGGTGGGCTGAGCCTTTCTGCTTGGCCATGGCTGGGAGGCTGGATACCTCCTGCAGGCCTTGCCTGTCCCCATGTACCCCACTCACCCCAGAGTGGGTGAGCCTTCAACTGCTGTCACCTGGGCCCAGTGTCCTGTCTCAGAAATGCCTCCAGAGGGCACTGTTCCACGGTGACCCAGGACAAGGCAGCCCTGGGCAGGGATGATGCCTCCCCCCAGCCCCGCTCTATGCAAGTGGAGGACAAATGGAAAATGAATTAATATATAAAACATTTCAGCCAACAGGAAGCGAGTTTTTTTTGGCATTCTGGGATGAACTCTCTTATTCTGAGGACAAGACAATTTGAACTTCAACATGGTTCAAACTAAAGGAAAAGGGGACTTGGCTAGCCGGGGAATCCCCTGATTTGACCTAGGCAGAAACTGAGTTTATTAATAGCCATTTGGTAGACACTTCACAGTTCACAGTGAAGCAAGACAGGATCGGGTTTCTGGGTTTTCTCCAATCAGAGATGCCCAGTGGGGGAGAGGTCACCATCCGGACAGAGAATGTGCGGGCGTCTTGTTTAATGTTATTTTGTAAATATTCGAGTTGTTCCCAGTTTATGGATACTCTAAAGCCCTTTCAAAAATGATAAATGTCCAGGTGTATTATTGTTTTTGATGTTTACTGAGAGCTTTCTCTGTGCCCGGGACCCTGAGAGAAGCTAGTGTGTGTCTCGTTTGGTTACCTCCCTGGCCCGAGGTCTCACGACTGCTTTGAAAGGCCATGCTCTCTCCACTGCAAATGTGCTGCCTTTGTACCTTTCCCTGCAGAGCATTTGCAGGAATGAACCCTAACTTTCCTGGGGACCCC